TTTATTTAAGATAAATATTTTATTCTACATATAACTACAAAACTAACGTATAGTATTTGTAATAATGATGTTATAGTTGATAATATAGACTATAACTACACGAATTTAATTCAGTGAATGTGCCTAAATATCATATGCTTTTTTGGGTTGCATATAAAGAGAGCTCATTCTTGTATACGAGTAGTGTTCCAAAGATTACATATAAAATTAATTTGATTGAATTCTGTTTGTTTAAAATTTGGAGAATCGTCAAAAAAGTTTTGATTGTTATCCTTATTAGTCACAATTTTACATATAATAAATTGTCTGCGGTCGCCTCTGGGCTTGGCCGCCCAGGTGCGGGAGCAGCTTTCGCACCCCCACCAGGAACGGCCCTGGACAGAGGTGTCTTCTGGTAAGAGGACTGTTTGGACCGCGTGGCACTTACCACAGAATCTCTGAGGAATAGAGTTCCTATTAAAAATTGAAGCATTGGTAGAGAGTTTCTGACACGCACTACACACGACACCAAACCAGTTAATTGTGACCATATCTTGATTGAATAAAATTCACATAGTATAACTGCTTCAAAGATATAGCGTTGGTCATAAACCTGACCAACCCTAAAGTTCATGGGTTTCGGTAATATAATCCTGTTACTCCACACCTTTAAGTTGTAAAAACTGTGCTCGACCAACGTTCAGGCGCGTATGACGTCAATTTGGAATCTTATTTTCCGTTTTGATGTAATTAAACAAGTTCTTACAGCCTACTTATTTCAGATTCAAAATACTTCTGGCCCTTTTATTCTTGATGAATGCTTATGAAAACGTAAATTTTCTCAAAGATTCCAGGCTTTTTCGTTTTATTCCTTAGAACCCCATAGCTGAAAGTGGCGAACCACACTGAGTGGACACAATGGGCCCCCGATGATCGAGTACTAATGGTTTAAAGATCGGCCTCGTTTATGGCGAACGCTATATCTTTGAAGCAGCTATACCTGCACCGAGTTTTCAATTATCTATAATAAAAGTTTCACCAGTTACACAATATTATTTTTGCCGTACCATACTAAAGAAGAGCAAATATTTTGCAGCAAATACATTGTACATTGATAAAAAAACATTTAATTACACTACTGAAAATAAAATTTAAACGCTTAAGCATCATACACAGAAATCGAAAAATTTCATTACAATATAACTATGCAGTTGCTTATTTTTGAAAATTAATTAATTTACTTGAAATACATTTATCCGACAATGAGTGGGGGAGTAGTGGCGGTTCAAATTCTATAAAAATTGTGTTAATCAGGATTCATTTATATTATTACTAACACGGAGCATTAAATAACACTGTCTACTACTGTGTCTGTACTGAATTATTACTTCTTTATTGAAAGTGTACTCATGAATAATTTGATGTAATTTCCACATTTACAGTTAAAATCTCTACACTTAAGTCCAAACAGATAGAATCAAATTTATATGGAGATAATGTAATAAAATTGTTGTGGAAAGCCGCACGAAATTTTTGTTGAAAACACTAAAATCTTCAAAAAATAATAATGATTCAAGGTTTAGTCAATATATGGAAAATAGTGAATATTTTACATAAACAAACAATTTTGTGAATGTTGTGCATGATCTCTATAGTAACACATGAATCATCGAGGGAGGGTCCGTATTAATTACGTTTGCAATTCCACTTGGTGCCCTCAAAGTGACGTCTCTGATGGTTGGTCGGTATGCAAAGTGAAGAGGAGAACGAGTTAAAGACGGTTTATTGGTGGAGGACCGCAAAGGATGCTTGCTTCTTTCGTTCCAGATTATTTCCTACCATTATTCGTCGAAGACGTCTAGCATAAAAAGGGGGCAAACAGATCCGGCGACAGCTGCTTGGCTATTAAAAGCGACTTAAACCCCAAACTCTCGCCGTGATCGCAAAAGTTACCTCTCATTCCACGAGCTTCAACCCCCTCAACCCGCTTCGCGATTACGCGCAAAGCCAACGCATCTATATGATGGCCCGAGCCTCTTCGTAACAAATAAGCAAATTGCTAAATGAGCCGTAACACCAACTTCTGAACTGACGAAAATGAAAAAAAAAAAAAATGGAGGAATATTTTTACGCTCACCTTATAAATACAATAATTCTGCAAAAGCATGTGACTACTTAAACTGATTGATCAATACGATGTTTGGATAATACTGTTCAACGCGTAATAAAATTACGTTTTTTTTTAGAATTTTCAAGAGGCGTTCCTGGTTGACTTTTATGGGCTGAATACGAATCTGCAAACCGTTTCTTCCCAGCACGTTCAGTTTTTGAAAAAATCATATTTTTTTTAATTTCAAATTTTTTAATTTGGAGCTGTGTTGTACTTTTACAGTAATAGTTATTCAGTTTCTTTTGACAGGAAATCATTTTCTGGACTTTTCTGAACAAGATGATATAAACTGTTATTATGTTATAGACATTTAAATATGTTTAAATAATGTTGAAATTGAAAAGGACACCGAAAACGCACCAATTTTTGCTGATATTGTTCAATTTACTTCAAAAACGAAGGGTCTAACCACTCAGCATAACGAAAGTCGTTATTTTTCGTTTGTACCGCGATTCGATTTTTGCACTACTTTAGAAAAAAAAAACTGGACTTTGCCTCCCCCCCCCCCCCCCTCCCCAGAGGAAAAAAATTACATTGCCTTCTCCCTGATTGATAACCTGGCTACGCCCATAATGTAATGCGCAAAACATAATTGTATTTATGCGTTAAACATTATAGTAGAAACATAAATTACCAATTTTCATCTAACGGCACACGTTTTTAAAGAAATCAAAATCCAAAATCCGATGAGAGAAATGTTTGAATAAAATATTTCTCCTGATACATGTAGGTATATTATCAAACCCTTTGTTTAGCCAATGAAATTGAAATTTGGAGTCTCGGAAGACGCATAGCCGCAGAAACAAAGATTAATCAGGCTGATACCATGCTATTAAATAGACATCAACATACTCTGCAACGACAGTGTCTCATCAGCATAATCTGTAAATGATAACGTCGTTAAAAAGAAGGGAACCTGGCTCTCTCCCCTGTAAACTTTTTATCGCCTCTTACTGTCATTGGTCCGCTTCTGGAGCCTCAAACTTCTGCAGTGCATAATTGAACACAGACGTATTGAGCCACTCTAACTACTAAGTAAGCCTCCTATGATTCAAGAATTTTTGAATGTATGTGTTATTTCAGAAATTATTAGCTAACTCTTACCCTCTTTGAGTGTGAAATTGTAAAACGTTCGTTGTGGACGACGCACGATGAATTCTCTTCACGTAACAATATGTTCGGCCAAGAGTTCTTCAGATGAAGAAACGTATCATCGCTGCAAGTAAGTAGGTGTTTGGAAATTCGTACAATTATTTATTTAATATTTTGTTATTATTTTAAATCTAAATAACTTTGCTTTAAAATATTTAGATTTCAACAATGTTTAATAGTAAGATCTCTTCTCCATTGAACCCTTGAGTGACCAATAAAATATTACAAATCATCAAAAAATGCCCATTTTTGCCTTGACAATACATAGGATATCCATTATGTATTAGATAGGAAAATCAAATATTATAGCAATAATGAATATAGTACTCAAATGTCTTTGTAGTAGAAAATTTTGTATGACACATGTAATTAGTATAACACATGGGCCGCCTTTATAAAAGTAATATTCCTTTGATTTCTTAAATTGATCTGTGACAATTATTTTCATCAACAATGTTATTTTATTAAACAGAAACATTATACATATTATTATAATTACTGAGCATTTATTTATTTTTTTCCATAATAATTCCAAATGTTTTTAAAAGAACAAATTAGATAATTAATATTATTACAGACTAAATAATTAAAAATTATAAGATTAAGTTCGAAATTTGTATTATTAATTAATAAGATTGTTACGCGTTGCGATTGGTAGCCAACGTTACCGCGGGAACTCGGCTGGCAGACACGCGCTCTGATTGGTCGAGGTTTTTCGTTAATATCTCGTTAACAAAGCTTTAGATAACATTTTTGTTAAAGAAAAACTTGTTTCCAATCACCTCACGAGTCTCCCATTTCCGGGTCCTTCAACATTTTTGTTACACCATGTATGTGGTCCATCTATCCCCAATCGTATGGGATAGATTGACCAACTACAGACCCCTCTCGATTATTGTCTGGTTTGTTCTATGCGATTATTGTCCAGGCGTCAGCCCCAACCCTTGAAGGGGGGGGGGGTTACAAGGGTCTGAAGCATTTCTTCCTATAAGATTATTGTCCCGGCGCCGACCCGATTTCAGGACAATAATCGAGAGGAATCTGTATCTGCGCCATTATGATTGTTTTGAACATCACTTTTTAAGGTTAGAGTTATACTTAAATGCTATTAAAGTTTAGATCATGAAAATGGCGCAATCATCTGCTCAAACAACAGAGCGATCCTGTTTTTTGTAACTAGCTAAAAAAACTTGCTCTCGCGTCTATTCTGCTCGGCAGTCATGCTTCAACGCCCGACGTTATTTCAATTGCCCACAATTCTTTTTTGTATGACTATGTTTGGAATTAAACCTACGAAGAAACTGACGCTGAGAGAATAATTGAATTACGAAATAGGAAAGTGTTCTTGTAAGAAATTCTTATTCTTCTAATAACTTACCCTACGTTTTCGATAGATATAACGACAAGAAGGATCGATGGTAAAATTAAATTATATTTTATAACTGCTGAGTATCTGATTTAATTTCTAACGCGATTTCTATCACTAACCACGAGATCATCCTTGTGAAAAAAATAAAAACGCACAGCAAGAAATAGGCATCTTAATCTTCCAATTAACTGTCCCATAACCATTTTCTTTACTTATAACGGAATAAGGAATGAACCTTATTCCAGTTGTACAACGTGAAAATAAAAGTTTTGCTACTTCAGTAATTATTCCAGCAACTTAAATATCAATTACAAAAATAAAGAATTACTGTTAGTTAATATTCTCACTGCGTCTAGAAACTAAATCTAAGGAGACATAATCATTCGACAATTTTATCCAAGGCATCCACGTTCCATTGAAATGTTCAGGGTAAGAGGCTGGATCCACTGGCGCGTTAGTTTGATGCACCAGAACTTTGTTATATTCTTCAATATATTGATTCAGTTGATCAACGATCTGTAAATGAAACAATACTTTTAAAATGTCTGCAGTGATTCTAAACATTTGCCTAATTTATACAGCATAATGAAGGCAGAAGTAATAACCAGACAAAAGAAATTATGTGTGTACTATAAGTATTTTACTAACATAGCGATCTAAAATTATTCAAAACAATGTTTACTATACACCAATCTGTATAAATAAGCTAAATGATACAGAAATAGTTGTGTTAAATGTAGATCAAATATACAAGGGGTGTCTCTAAAGTTCTGGGAATTGCGATGCAGCTGTACAGGGTGTTCCAAAATAGCTTCGACTCCCAGAAATGAGGGATTCCTGGGATGATTTGAAACAACTTTTTCCTTAACAAAAATGTTATCCGAGGCTTTGTTAACGAGATATTAACGAAAAACCCTGACCAATCAGAGCGCGAGTCTTTCAGCCCAGTTTCTGTGGTAGCGTTGCGAGTCATTTTATAAAGGTAGATTTTACCCCTTGGGAACTATCTTAAATAAAATCGAATAAAAAGACAAAAAAGTAGAAGGTCCAAGCTATACTTTGTTTTTCCTTTAAACAAATTTTGATTAATATTAACAAAGTTATGGAACATTGAATTTCTACAATTTTTCACTAGTGCACGCGTGATGCAATAATTTTTGCTAATACTGTATAATCTGCATATACAGGGTGTTAAGAAAAAACCATTCAATATTTATATGGTCCATAGATACAGAGGACTCTAACTATATTGCCATGGTTGGAGCTGTAGGGGAGTAAAATGACAATGATTTTAGCCCCCTCCATGCTAAGTTCTATCGTCATAGCCACGGCCTCAGTGCTGGTGCGACGGCGTACGTAACGTAATGGGAGAGCGAATTTGTGTGATCGAAAGTACGTGTGAAGGGGAAGTGCCTCGCGTGGCAATATACATAGAGTTCACTGTATTACACTAGACCGAGCGTATCAATATTGTTTAAAAGCTAAAAAAGTAAAAGTTTACCCGTTAAACAAATAAATCTAAATAATTATAAATGTCTGCATTTACTAAAAGAAATTATGGATAACAGTAAACATTGCTAAAAATGTCAATTGCGAATCAAGAGAAAATCAGTAAGTGGTTTCATCTGTTTGGCTGGTACTGCACATAACATAGTATTTTCAGTATTAAAAATAATCTTTACATACCCTTGGATACCTAGATGACAGGTCTGTTGTTTCGCAGGGATCTCGGTATAGGTTGAACAAACATCTACCCGAACACTTTGGATACGTTGTAGACTTGTTACATGTCACCCTTGCCTCTTCCCTAAGCTTAATTATTTTCTTATCTTTTAACGTGGACTTTGATATTTTGGATATTGCAGACCCCGCAAGAGATTTTAAAACGCGCGATACATTGTATTCAGGATACAATGAGCTCATACCACTGTCTCCGTAATAACCACCATACTGAATGCTTGCTCCTATATTAAAAGAACATTAAATGATTATTAATTAATAGTAATGATTATGTGAATCATAAAGCCATAAAGCAAAGCATGCTTTTGATCACCATTTATTAATTTATATTTTCCGATTATAGCCGAAGAAGTTCCTTCCACTTCATCAATGTTCAACATCACACCAGTCCGTTTGGTCGGTTTTTCCGAAACAAGGGTGGACCATTGATCAATTCCGTCAAGATTTACCTCTAAATCCTGTAAATTACCGCCAGCAGCGGAGTAGAATGTTGGTAACCAATCCGTTACATGTATCAATTGATTAGATATCCTGGAGTTCTTTTTTATTAAGGGAGAATAAACGCATGCTACGCCACGAACGCCACCCTCAAATAGCGTAAATTTTAACTGAAAACCATAAGATCGTATCAAAATATTTTCTATACGCGAATAACTTTTGGAAATTACTTTTGAAATATGTTTACAAAGGGATATTTTGATTTTTACAATAAAAAATTGATTGTCCCTCTTTTTTTAATTACCTGCTAGTATAAGATTTTGAAAACACATTAAGAATATTTAAAATTATTATTAAAGCTCTGAAATTAAAGGTTTTCTGATAGCAGAAAGATAACATCCGCACCAAGATGGAATGCACGCTTATCAGGGGTATGCAGGTACCCGAAATCACGGGATTCCCGAGACTCGGGTCGCGTCGGGAGAAGTCGGGCGAGAGCGGCCGGGATGCCGACAGTATAAATCGCATCGGGATCCGAAGATGTTACAAGACCCGAATATGTTTCGGGACCCGAAGATCTCACGTGACCCGACATCTGTTGGCATCCCGATGTGATTTATACTATCGGGATCTCGGCCGCTCTCGCCCGACTTCTCCCGACCCGACCCGATCACGAAATGTCGGGTACCGCACACCCCTGACACTTATGCTTCGAGTATACAAGGTGTACCAAAATAGTTTCGACTCCCGGAAATGAGGAATTCTTGGGATGATTTGAAACAACGTCTTACTTAGCAAAAATGTCACCCAAGGGTTTGTTAACAAGTTAATAATGAAAAACCTCGACCAATCAGAGCACGAGTCTACCAGCCGAGCTTCCACGGTAGTGTTGGCTACGCGTTGCAATTAGTAGTATTTATTAACGTATAAACTCGTTAACAAAGCCTCGGGTGACATTTTTGTTAAGGAAGAAGTTGTTTCAAATCATCCCAGGAGTCCCTCATTTCCGGGAATCGATGCTATTTTGAACACAGTATATTTCAGTTTGCCACGTAAAGAAGCACATTTTTTTGCAGTCAATAGTATTTTTTAAATACCAGAAGATTTATACTGGAGCATTGGAATAATGGTTTAAATGAAGCTGTTCAAAAATAGTAAATACATGTAAAACCTTAAGTTCTATTGTCCCAAAACTATATCTCAAAAATTGGTATCCTAGGTTTCACGAAAAACTACACAAACGCTTAACTGAAAAATATTTTACATGCCATTAATCGTTGCAAACATTAGTACGTCAATATTTTCATTCTCAAATCTCTTTCAGTCGCACCATTCTTTTCCTACGTTTGGCGAGAATCAGCGTAGGAAAAATCGATACAGTTCAGCAACAGTGGCTTCGCGTAGCAGATACACAAACCCAACTTGATGGTAACGGGGAAGAAAATTTATTTGTAGGTACTGCCGTTAGATGTATTATCAAGCCGTCCGAAATATCGATTATATGTTTCCGCTAGCGTTCGATTGTTTACATCAGCGGTTCGATCAATTCGGAGTTGACCCCAAAGGAGTCTCTCCCTTTAAGTCACTTTCAGGGCATTTCAAGGGTTCAAGAACTCTGCTGTTAGGTGTATTCGTACGGGGAGATTCAAATCGAATAAATCACATAAGACACGAGTGAAGAATATTTAAAAGAACTTAATTACCCCTCGTAAAGGATAATTCGATCCGAAGTTCTCTAATAAGCCCACAGTTTGTGCACCATTGTCAGACATGAAGACAACAATCGAATTTTCTAACATATCCGCTTCCCTTAATGCGTTAACCACTCTACCGACAGATTCATCCAAAACTGTAAGTACACCTAAAAATTGAATATTTGTGGATTGCGATTAATACGTAGAATGTACAGGGACAAAGGAATACCTATAATTTATTGTATTACAAACCTGCAAACTTTCTTCTACTGAAGTCTTCAATGTAGCCTAAAGTGGAATTCACTTCTTCCTTATCACGGACTTCCATTACATCTTTGGAGTCGCTAGAATGGACGGCGACGTGGGACAATTGCAGATAAAGAGGTTTCTTGGTGTTGTGGTTTACAATTATATTTTCAGCTCTTTCCGTTATAACATCAGTCAAATATTCGTAATTGTAGTCCACAGACAATTTTCCGGGAATATCGTAATGTAAATCGTAGCCGATATGATTCTGAAAAAAACTTTCCTTAAGTTTATGTCTTCAAAATACGTTTTTTTCTTTTTGGAACTAAGTGTGTATACCATCGTATACAACATTTATAGTTTCCAATTCTGTTTCAATAAAAGATTAGATACGGTAACAAGAAAATGTTAAGATATTATGCGTGTGCAGCTACCCCAAATCATGGGATTCTCAAGCCACGGGTTGCGTCGTGAAGAGTCGGACATGATCGAACAGATTCCCGACAGTAGATGTGTAACATATCGGGATCCCGAAACCAACCGACTGTATACGGACATATCAGCTTAGACATACATATAAAGGGTGTCCCAAAAGGATGGAATAATCGGTAACATGCATATTCGTGCAAATACAAATCGAAAAGTCCTTTACCGTTTTGTCATCGGATGCTTCATTTTCGAGATATTAACAATTAAATGAATTCCAGTCAGCTGAGCAGTCGGCCACGAAGCGCACGACCCAAATCACTGGCCTCTGCTTGTTGACTGTACCTGCGCGTATGTGTGGCCCACCACGCTCAGCTGATTGGAGTTCATTTAACTGTTAATATCTCGGAAATGAAGCATCCGATGACAAAACAGTAAAGGACTTTTCGATTTGTATTTGCATGAGGAATATGCATGTTGCGGATTGTCCAATCTTTTTTAGACACCCTGTATAATAGACTGCGCAGTCTTATGTGGACTGAAGTCGACACAAGACAGAGAGGGCAATAGCGAGGGTCAATTCCTCTCTTCCTAATGGGGCTGTGGGTGGCGGGAATTTTCTGCGGTTGTAGTAAAGGCATTACAGATGGACCTCAAGGACAGAGCCTAGTCTTGCATCAGTCAAACTGTTGTGCACTCTGTAGGCGAGTTCGCTTACTTATTAGTAGTAGCGTGGCTTCGCGTGGGCTCATACAGTAGTTATATATTATTTTTGGTTTGGTATGTTGTATGGACACTGATTTAAAAATCCAATTACAAAAATACCTGTTTCCATTGCGAAAAGATTCAAAAATTGGACTTCCATAAAAAGTAACGTACACGATACATAATGTAATTTAAATAAAAGATTAATATATCCAGGAGGAAGGAGGCTTAATATATCAATTGAATAATGTTATTAAAATCTGTCGATTATGTTAAAAAAAAATAAAATTCTATTTCATTCAGAGTAATATTAACAAATTTTTGCATATTTGTAACATACTATTACAAGAATTGGATGCGCATATTTTGTTTTTAAATATTGTAGATCATTCTAAATGATCCAATAGGATTATATAATCACAGAATTCATTTGATAAAATGTATTATTCAACAATATGTGAAAGTAAGGTATCACTATATTTGTAAAGAAAAAAGTAATACTTCAAACAGTAAAAGATCATATTTTAATAAACATGTTTTGTTTTCTGATTACTAAATATATCGTGTTATTACTGATCCACCATATCCAAATTTCAGTAAATTCATAAAACATTATACATATAGGGTGTTCCATATGTTGTAGTCCCAGCGTCAAATTTGTAATTCTATGTGAAAAAATAACTCGAAAGTACAGAATAATGTTTTTCCGTACACTTTGTACCGTAAAAATGGAATTTTCATTTATGAAAATGAAGTATGTGTTACTTTTCTGTACAAGTGCTATACACGCCAAAAATGTCGAATATGATTTATAACAGTTCATAGAAAATCATTTATTACTTACAACTACTATACCATGTGTTTTTAAAATATAGTCTGACTCTATTTATCATACGAATGAAATATTTTACACGTTACTGTAACTGTTGGTTAGTGATATAAATTTTGCAAAGTCAACGTGCAATACCATGAGACAAATACAGAGACACTGAAAGATTTGTGATTCTTAAACGAACTTATTCGTCGTTGGAAAATCTGATATTTGTTAAAACTTTTCTAAATCAACGATTGGGAATTTTTCATTTGTTTGCTCTAAATGATTTAAACAAAAATAAATACAAAATGAAACTCACATTTTGTTGAATGGTGTGATTAAAATAGCTAACGTATCCATTGTAGTACCCAAAGAAGGTATCGAAGCCCCGATATGCTGGTGTGTGATCATCACTGTAATAGCCAACATGCCACTTTCCTACGAGGTGCGTGGCGTATCCTAATTTTCGCAAATATTCTGGCAGCAGTTTATTATTCAAAGGTATTGCGCGAGGTTCACCTGCCTTTAGTGGGTAGCCTTGCATACCTACGTAAAAAAAAATATATAATAAAATGAAAATGATTTTATTGTTGTGAATACTCCTGTGAGACTAAATGCTTTTTATGGGTATAAGATGGTAGATTTGTCTTTCTCACTCAAAAGAAAACTCCACCAAGTAAACTCGTGTTTAAGGGCAAGTTATATTATAATCTAGTATTTCCAAAATGGAATGTTACATTTCCTTGTCAGTATTTTGTTAGGCAAAAATGCTTTCAGCTCGGTGAGGTAGAAGTACGTCCTAGACGCGTTGGACCCGGACTTTAAGATACCCAGGTATTTCCTCCGGATCATCGGTGATTACCAAAAGGACGGCCCGAAAAAGAGGCAGCTGACTGCAGGGGCTGCCCAGGGCTCCATACTATATGGACCATCTTCTATGACGCCATCCTACGTATGGATATGCCCCGAGGCACTTTCCTGATTAGATACGCGGACGACGTTGCGGCCGTTATCATCGCGAGGGGTGCGGTCGCGGCACAGATGCAATTCAATCAGGTCATGCGTCGCGTCTGCTCCTTGATATACGACCACGAATTGGAACTCACGGTAGCGAAGACCGAGATCGTGTTTTTTACGAAGAGGCGCATCGACACCTTGCGCCCCATGAAGGTGGGAGACGTAACGGTCCAAACCAAGGCAACTGTGAAGTACCAGGGGATGATGCTCGGTATCAAGCTCACTTTCTGGGACCAGAACAGACGTGCAGCGGACAGAGAGGCGCGGTGACGACGTTGCTGAGCAGCATCATGACAAACATTTGAGGCCCACGACCCTATAAGAGGCGACTCCTTATGCTCACCGCTGAAGCAATTATGCTGTACGACAGTGATGGACAACTCAGCGCCCGCCAAACTCACTGGTGGGCAACGGCGTGCAGCGTGCGGGCACGTAGCAGTGGTGGGGGAAATGAGTGAGTGGAGGCACATATCTATCGCTCAATTCATACACAAATATGTCGTAACGTTTCCTGCCTCGCATCCCCTCCACAGGAGCCCGCGGTTGCCCGCCGCCTGCCCGTACGGGCAGCATGCCCCCGCGGGCGCGGTTGCCTATCACTGCTGTACCCCGCCGAAGTGTGGGCCATAGACATACAGGGTATTTCACCTAACTTGACCACCTTAAATATATCGCTTATTTTGTATGATAGAAAAAATATCAGGGGAGAAGAATATTCTGTTCGAAGGCGCCAATACGGTGATGGGCCGAATTTTTTTCACAAGGTCATTTTTTTCGAGATTTCAAGGTCATCGAATTTTTTTTAAATGGGACTACATATTTTCACTGCAACACTCTTATAGCACATAAAAAAACAAATCCAACGAGGTGCAATATGTTGACCTTCACGTGACCTTTAGCGAAAAAATCATGAAATGTTTGTCAGTAAGCTCAGTACGCGTTCGGGGACGGTAAATGAAGGAATTTCAATTTCATTGGAACAGTGTACCGTGTAATTGTCCCTTGTGCTTGTAAACAGACATTCGTATTCTCCTTTCATCGGCTGAAGTATGTTTACAAGCATTATTATCAAAGTAAATCTTAGGGTTAAGGTAAGCCATTTGATTTCTTTCTGTGGGGACACCTAAAAAGTAAAGTTTACAATGATGTTCCCACAACAGCAGAAAACATGCGACAAAGGGTTCTACATGAATGTAGATCAATTACTGCAGAGCAACTTAAAAATGTACAGCAAGAATTTATTTACCGCCTCCAAAAATGTATCCAGGTTCATGGTGCACATTTTGAACACCTTCTAAAATAAAGATTTAACTAAAAACTGTTGCAATGAAATTGAAATTCCTTCATTTACCGTCCCCGAACGCGTACTGAGCTTACTGATAAACATTTCATGATTTTTTCACTAAAGGTCACGTGAAGGTTAACATATTGCACCTCGTTGAATTTTTTTTTTTTATATGCTATAAGAGTGTTGTAGTGAAAATATGTAGTCCCATTTAAAAAAAATTCGATGACCTTGAAATCTCGAAAAAAATGACCTTGAGAAAAAAATTCGGCCCATCACCGTATTGGTGCCTTCGAACAGAATATTTTTCTATCCTGATATTTTTTCTATCGTACAAAATAAGCGATATATTTAAGGTGGTCAAGTTAAGTGAAATACCCTGTATAATAGACTGCGTGGCCTTATGGTAGTGATGAAGCGAGACCAAAGGACAGAAGTAGCGATGGAGTCATTACTCTCGCTCGCACATCGCCGAGGGAGGGGAGAAAGCGACTGGGGCACGATGAGGAGAAGGAATGCTGCACGCATGTAATGCCTTCACATAGCCGTAGGAGAATCCCCCACCAACAGTCCCACTAGAAAGAGAAGTCTGTGACTCCATGTATTATCCTCTCACTCTACTGCCAACCTCATCCCTACCATAAGACCGCGCAGTCTATTATATATGTCTATGGTGTGGACGACGCGCTGCGACACGGAAAGTATCGTAAGCGCCTCGCCGCAGTGCAACGAAGAGAGGCCCTTCGGGTCGCGTGCTCTTATCGTACGGTCTCCGAGTCCACAATAATGGTGGTCGCGGGAGTCATCCCAGCCGACCTCCGTGTCCAGGAGCGACGCTTTGTCCACCAGCAGAAGGCAACTCTCGCCTTGACGTGGGCCAAAGAGACTGCCAACTGCCAGAGCCAACACCCTGAGGGTCAGAATGGACGCGAGAATCGCGCGGTAGTTGAACTGCTCGCCTCATCGGCGAGCTCAACGCTTGGACCAATCACCAACATGGCGTGGTAAATTATTATTCGACGCAACTTTTGACAAGGCACGGCCTGTTCCGTGTCTACTTCCATAAGATGGGGAAAGTCGCGGAACCAGGCTTAGTAGAATTAATGGTTGACCAACGGTATTCAACAGTTGGGAGTTAGTTGGGATATAGTTAGTGTTTTTGACTACAAATTCCCAAAATAGGGCCTATGACGAAAAAGTTATGACAATTTACCAACGAATATCCAATGTTTGGTTTACAATTATGTTACGTATGAAGAATTTTCTATCATATCCCTCGTTCTAATAGTCTGAGCTCGCACCCGGCAAAGGAGAACGCCCTTATATTTTCGTTATCTCTTGAGTAAGCGAAGGAGTAAAACCCGTTTCCACGGCGTGGTAACCAAAAAACTAGGAAGCGTGACGCAACTTCAGGTCACATCGCGTTCTTGTGAATTGGTCATTACGTTAGTGAGATCGGGCTAAAGTTCCCTTTCCAATCTAGTTAACTTTGTAATAAACCGTGAACACTTTATTTAATTCCGGCTAGAATTATTACTTTGGCATTATTCCGTAAAATCCACTCGCAAGCCCCGCATCGCCAGTGCGTTAATACCGAGCACCTATTTATTTCGGTAATAGTTATTATTTCATTATTACTTACGAATTATTACTACGCGACAACACTACACAACACATTTGTAACCAAAGACTGATTAATTATACTGTTATTTTATAAATCTGTGTAGTTCATTTTGAATCCATAACACGATCCAGAAGTCTGTAGTATTTTAGATATACTAGTTTCCTCTAGTTTCGAATAATATCAGGTCGACCGTTCCCACACTAATACAACTTTACCGCTTGAGTTGTATTAATTATAAATTCAAAAGTTACGAGGCACTAACTAACATTTCCTAACGGCTCCCTGATTTCGCATCAGGTTCGTCCATTCCGTTCAGAATCCAAATTCCGTCAATTTTTCTACGGATCTCCACTCGCAGCAACCTCCTCGTGGTGAGATCTGGTAATCGGCAATGCCAAGCCAATGGCTGTGAAATTGTTTAGACTTCAGAATGTTCATAACAAATATTTTTATGATGTACTTGTAACATATTTATCTCTAATAAATATAAGTAACATACACAAATATTTATATTTATTATATACTTCTGTAATGTATTCGTAATATGTTTAATTATATTTATTATTTCCTAACTTGTTAATTTTATAAGGTTGATATAAATACTTAGGAAACCATTACTGGTAATACATAGAAAGTAATAACACAAATATACTGTTAATTGTTAGCCGCTAAGGTGACGTAAAGAGATACATTTAGTTTAGTCATTTAAAAAATCCCGCTTCTCCGTACAACCAATTTAAAGGGACAAGGCATCAAGTAACATCAAAGGTGCCGCTCGGAGTGCCGCTTCTTGTTGTATCCCTACTCTCTGGCGAGAACGTATTATTAGTGCATGTGTCGCAATAACTGCAAAAACATTAGAGAAAGTTCTTCGTTCACTCATAATCTGATTACGCATGTGCATTGTTTGTAATGGACAACACTTCGAACGCCGTTTGAAATAAAACTTGTTTTACAAATTATTTTACGAATAATTCATTTTTAACCCTATTTGGTATAATACTTTTTTTACGCAGAATTTGGTGCTTTCTCAGAATTCGAGAAAAAATATTAGGCATCCATTAAAAAAACTGAAGATGACCCTCATAACTCGATCAAAAAGCAAAGTAACAAAGAACAGATTACAGCATTCCCTCTGGAAATCATGCAACATTTATTTGAAAAATTTTTTCATACAACAAATAACTTACGAGTTATTCGAAAAACAAAGACATTATGAATAACGTTACGAAATTCATGAAACTATAATAAAATATTCAAAATGGTAATTGAATGTATCTAAAATAATATCAGTTCATATTTTGCAATATTTTACCCGTAAGAATGGAAGTAAATTAAAATGAAATATTTACAAGAACATAACAATCACAAAATATTCCACTATTTATGGTGATCAGTGGAATTAGTAATTTAGCAACCGTAACAAGTTAACTCAAGAAAATAATTATTATTCGGCACCTTCTCTCAATACTGGTTGTAGTATTCGAAGCATGCATTCATATTCGATGCATTGAGGCAGCTCGAAAAATTCGATCTTCCTGAAATATATTTAAGTTAACTAGCCTAAGGGCACTTTTAACCCCTTTAGCTTGCCATACCCCTTCTTCAAAAACAAAAATAATCCTTTGGCATCCAAAATACAAAGTATAGATTTTTTAAAAGTCTTTATTGATAGAAAATGATCAAGATTCAATTTTTAAAATTAAAAGGAGCTTTTACAATTTTTCCAGACTTTTTAAAATTGTTTTTTAAAACCGTTCGTCGCATGAACAAAAGTAGTAGAATATAAAAGATGCTCCTTGTCTAGATCTGCAATTTTTATCCAACATGTTTTTTGATATGAACAATAACTTAGAGGATAATCGAATAAAATCAACTTTGTGTGGATTATTTTTAATAAATATGTATCCCCAAGAATGCCATGGCAATTGTCAAGTATATAGAGCGACTTACCAGATCGAATAGGATATTGTCCAGTGAGAAATGCTGTCCTTGATGGTGTGCATATCGGCAAAACGTAATGTCGTTGCAGTATGACACCATTGTAAGCGAGAGCGTCTATGTTTGGCGTAGGTATTTGATTGGCGCCATGAAAACTCACATCATTCCAGCCCTCAAATAAAATTTTTAATGTATAACATTAATAAACTGCGTTAAAACCTGCGACTTTAAAACTAATTGACTAATTAAATTGATCAGGCACAGCTAATAAATAAATTGATACGTAATTTACCTAGAGCTTATAAAAGTTATTTGAATTTCATTTCCACTGAAAATTTCTGTCTGATAGAAAATTTTAAATTACTCTCGATTTCATGCAGGTATTTTAAAAAAATATCTCATAATAAACATTTATAGCTTACAATTTGCATCGTTTTCTTGTATAAACAGATAGATAAGGTACATGATATGAGAACAAGGAATACGTAAATTGTGTCATATTTGAATAAGTTTTATTCAAGAATAACTCAATGTTACGTGCATCCACTTAAAGTGGGTGCAGATATTCCCTGTTGTGCGAATTTTCAGGGTCCACTAGCAGAATGTAACATAGAACACATAGCAACAAATACGAATAAGCATTCCTTCAGCCCACATGTCACAAGAAGGAGATTCAGATATATTGAAGTACATCGAGTAATCCCTTTTACTTAATAAAATTCAATGTTAACTAATGATATTTTTTTTTATGTTCCCTGCCACTAACAACCATATGTATACGACATAAATTCTCTAATGATAGAAACGAAAATCAGCATGATATAGACAAAGCAATTCATTTAATAAAAATGGGAATATTTATGATACAAGATGAGACAAATTTCGATGTTAATTAATACCAAATTCTTTCCCTTATTATTAAATTTTTTTATGTGTATAGTGCTGTATTGAGATCACTATTATTAACACGTACAAACCGTAATTCATGTTTCCTACCCATTAAATAAAAATTTTTTTCGAAAAGCACACAGATGTTTTGTAAATTTTAAACCAGAGGAATCGTTTCCTTTACAGAGGAATCGTTTTCCAGAAAAGTTTGCAGAATGTCAGATTTCTATTTTAATTCGTTTATATTTTAGTATACAAAATCATTTGAAAATTTCATTGCCTCGACGGAATTAGCATTTTTATTGCGGTGAGTAATCAGTGTGCATAGCTATTGGTCATATTTAGGTACCTAACGTTTTTCCTTCCTTTCAATTACATATATAACGTTTGAATAACAGTTTGCTATTGAAAATAAGTATTTCATTGTTATAATTTTATTAAAGAAATTCTAAATGATTAAATTCCTTCTCAACATTTACATTACTACTTTAAACGAGTTGTCTACCAATCTCCAAACACAATGGTATTTGCTATCATGAAGAGTTTATAATTTTGATTGAATATTTTGTACAGCTGTCTCTATTTAGTTTCTTAATAATCTCTATATTACAAATATAGATACTTATCAGTATAATGTACACTGCAAATATTGATTCTTAGACATAGATAGAAACAATATTTAACTGCTTTACTACCCAGATAGCACTGTACATCGAAAGAACGTCCGTTTCATGACCTGTTTATATATGAATATCCTACGTCCATTTTGGACATCCTTAAGATGTTCGTAAGATTTAAATTTCGGACGTTCTAGAAACGTTCGTGCTGGAAGTAATAAAAAATTGGATGTTGTTTATAAATATTTTTTATATTTTCGTAAATATTGGATGTTCTAGGACTGTCCGTTTCTTAAGTCTTACGAATGTTCGTTGGATTTAAATTCCGGATGGTTTCGTTTAATAATTTTGGCTCAATTTCATTCCGTGCAAGGTGATGGATACCCATGAGCAAGGTGTTATTTTTTAGAGACTCAGAGAAGTGTAACGACACTAGTGGTTTTGTGCGGAAAACTTAGGAAATTTGAAAAAATATTTTTCTTTCGTAAACTGTCTCCAACCAACACAGAATCAGTATTTTGCTTTGAACCCAGATAACACACGACGCCTTAAAGACGTCTATTTTACGGCTATTTTAAGTCTAAAGCGCCTTTAAGCCGTGTTCAAGGCGTCATGTGCTATCTGCGACGTTATATTTTCATTTGAAACGTTAAGCTGGTGTTAATGTTACTTTACAGTAATAACATAGTATATTCATTGAATCCCTGTATTAAATTATAAATTATAATATTGTGAATTAACTTTTCAATGTCTAAAACTGTATGTCATAATAACAACCGATTAGTGATAATTAAGTTAATGACTAATAAACCAATCATTACTAAAACAAAATATTTGTTTGAAGCTAACAATTTTCAAATTCTTAAATTTCATACCTATACATCGACTTGATATTAGTACTAAAGCAATAAATTTTATTGTTTACAAATTGTTCCTGCATTGCTACTCGCCAGTTTCTTACATAAATTATAAGAATAATAATAATAATAACAGTACCAAGTCATCCGCGATAATAACAATTATATTCGGCCGTTGGACTTTCGATTTTCCTTCCAATTGGTCTCCTTGCGATAACACAATATAGAGACATCCGGATATAAGAATTAAACACAATGAGGAAAACACTACACGTTTCATTGTAACAAACACTCTTCCTAATTTGAACACTTGAAAGAATTTTTTCCGCTCGATGAATTCCGTTGAAGCATATACTAAACATAGACACGTTACTTTACACAAACGATACTTTTTAAAATATTAAACCACTTATAAAAAGAGTGACACTGACACGTACACACAAAATCGAATAACTTTGCTGACACAAACTAAAAAGATATTTTTACAAGGACTAAAAGACAATTAATGTAAGTGCACACATGGTAGTTGTGTCTACACCTTTCCCTTATCGATAAGAATTGTCAACTCGTTAACAACAGTTTTGCGTCAAGAACACTACTGAACTGTGCATCTTGCAAGTTGCTTGCTTTATATCACCAGTAGAGAAGGTATTGTCTTATTGTAAAAGTCTTGGTACTATTTTCTTTAGATTAACCTTCACCCGGCGAATGCAGGATCCATTCGGACCCATGCCTTATATTCCTGTAACAGAGTTAAGGACTATAGTATTCGAATAATATAATATATTCTAAAAGGTAATTATACATAAGAATTTAATTATAATGCTCTGACAATTAATTAAACAATTGAACAATTGTTTGCATATGTGTCTGCTTATTGCAAAATACTTTTCTTTTACCATTTAAAATTAAAATCATATACAAGGTGTTAATTGTTTATATTTTGATTTTATTTAATTCATACATTTAACTACATATATAGTCCAGCCGAATTAAGCACGAAATATACCATTTCATAAAAAAAAAATTAATAGATGTTTTATTGTTTAATGCAGTCGTAATTATGATTGAGAATTAGAATCTATAAGTAACAGATGATTTGTTAGAGTAAACAATTGGGAACGGTTTAACTGCAAAAATCAGATTCTTGATTTACTTATCGGCTTATATCTGGGAACTGGGCAGACATGGAGGAAAATATTTCATACAAAAGTTATAGGTAATTAAATAATCTACACAACGAGATTTGTTTTGTTAGGGTGACGCCACCGGTTGAGCTGCAAATTGCTTGTAAACAAAAGAAACAAAGATTTTTTAAGACATTGATATCTCTGTGAAAAATGCGTGAATGCCGATGAAACTCGTACATGACGTAGTCCTAGTATCCCCAAAAAATGGCCTTAAGCGGAGCATCGTCGGTTGAAACCTGTTTGTGTTAACAAATTATAAAATGAAATATTCAAGGTTCCTGTAGACTGTCGCAGGCAAGGTACACCGTTACTTTCGATTTTAATGACTTTCCCGTGACTCGAATGTTAATAAACAATCGAAACATTTACCCAGATAGCACACAGACGGCTTCACGACGGCTTAAAGACGCCTGTTTCAGTCGTTCCAGTCGCCTTTCAGGCGTCGTGAATAGCTTACGAACAGCTTAGGCACAGCTTCTGGCCGCCTAATGTGACAAATCAAGATATCTTAAACAGGCCTGAATTAGGACTGAAGCAGTCGTTTAAAATACGTAATTCGTCGTATATATCGAACTTAAACTAAGTCAAATGCATCTCTTTAAAAAACGCCATTAGCACATATTAAAAATGATTATCGATACTGATTAATTGCAATATAAATTTAATCAAGGAAAGCATTATCAAAATAAAATCAAACTTAATAACAATTCATTTCGATTTACTATATTTATACAATATTTAAAATTTGATCGCATTTATTTTTATTATTATTATTACATACCATGTTTGGTGAAATACATCATTCACCGTGTGTTTACAAATATTGAAGAGCTATATTTATACAATATTTAAATATTACTTGTTTGTTATGCGGGCACATATATGTATATAATATGTTTCTATTCTAAGATCAAATTATGCACAAAATGAATACAGATTATACTTACAAGAAGTATGTAATACACATGTAGTTAGTACACAACCGAATATACAGAGTATACAAAGTTCACAGAAGACACAGAATATATGCACGTCAAATATATATAATATCATATAAAGAATACAAATACCATACGTTAGAGTATTACAAATTTAACAAAATGTACAGAACAAAATAGTATACAGAATATGAGGAATATACATATACTCTAAAAACCAAATAAGACCATAACTGCTTCGCGCAGCTGGGATGAGCACCAGAGGTCTCTCTGTAACATGGGCGCTAGAATTTGTCATACACCGGGTGACATAATGAAGTATTTCTCAAGATATGAATACTTATGAATTGGCACGTTTGTACTTCACAGACACTCGATGTATGATGCTACACGAGGCATAATGATGCTCAATTGTTTAAGACGTTGGTAACTAAGGTAACCGAGAGGAATATGCGCAAACAAGACCGAAATTCGTCATTTCGCAGTTATGGTCTTATTTGATTTTTAGAGTAGAGCATGTGTCACTGCTTCTTAACACTAGTGTTCCTCAAACTTGTTAAAGGTGTTTCGTGAAATTATTAAAGCACAACAGACTAACTTAGAATCTTTATATGAGTTGTAGTCTATAATTTTTTGGAAATTCATACAAATTTTTGTTCTTAGTTTTCTAACCTCAGTGAAATTATGTTCTACACATTTTACTTACAATTAAAGATGTTATATAATTTCGAAAATGTTATGAATTACTTATAAATGTATATGCTTACAACAAGTGTAATATATTTAATGTAATAGAATCAAATAGCCACAATCTAAAACACCGCGTGACGATACCTACCTCCTGTTTCACGCTCTAGACAAGTCACACATACAAGCACGGCACCCAACTTAGAATAGTTTTGGAATTGAACGCTGTCCATAAGCAGAGGACGCTAAGGCAGTCTTTAAATTAGGTGTCGGTAATACACATATATATATATATATAGATAATGGCTTAAGAAGGGAGTATAGATGGCGCCTTAAATACGTCTGTTCTCTCGTCTTAATGGCGCTTACAGACACCTAGAATACGTCTTCAAGACGCCCAGAATGCGTCTTAAAAGCGCCTTGGTTAACAATCAGGGCATTCAGTCGTTCAGTCCTAAAATGGCTATAAAATGGGCGTCTTTAAGGCGTCATGTGCTATCTGGGGAATGTGTCACAATACACTCTGTAATACAATGTAAAGAAACTGGTTGTATCGAAACGGGTTTGCTAGCCGCAAATTCCGATACGTAATCGCTAGGATCGTTCAGCGCTGACCGTGGAGGTGAAGGAGGACGAAATATCTCGCCACGTGATTTCGTTTATAATATGCTTTGGACGAGATATCTTGCAACGCAATGTCTTTCATGCGATGCTGTGTGCGAAATATCTCGCGACACAAAACCGTTCCTGCGACGCTGTGTACGGAATATCTCGCGAAGCAACACCGTTTACGAGCTGCTTTGACCGAGATATCTCGCGCTCGCGTTCCCGATTTTCAATGTTTACAACGGAATGTCACTCATCGGTTGTTTTAAACGACGGTATTCCTAAAACACTTCTTTCATATCGTAAATAAAAAAATGTAATAAATGTAGCTCCAATTACCTTTAATAGGAAAAAAAATGTTTTTTTATGATTGTTCAATATTACGAACCCAAAGAGAAAATTATTCAACATTGGTTGTTATATTTTTTTTATTGCGTCCTGTTTCTTCCTTTTATATAAAGACTGTTTGTTATGATAGAATTCAGAAATAATGACTAAAGTTCTTAGTTAATTGGTACTTATTTAGTTGGTTTTAATAAATAATAAATATTATTCTTAATGTTTTATATAATAATTATGTTACATACAAACGTGTATAAGTGTACTATACAGGGTGTTTCGCTTAAAACAGGCCACCTAAATATCTTCTTTATCTGGAATTATACGAGAAATATTTTTTACGTAATTTAGATGGTTTCAAGACACAAATTGAATGGCGACAATTTTTTTATAAGTGTCAGTTTTTAATGATTTTTTCAAAGTCACCTATTGTTTTTTAATTATATACACATCATTTTTCCTGTTGTGTATTATAGCCAACATTATTATGCATTTATCCATGTATAATAGTATGACCTTGAAATGATCTTGAGCTCTAAAACTTTTGAATTGACTTACATCATTTTTTCCAGCATCTGATTCGTCGCTTGAAACCATGTAAATTACAAAAAAATATTTCTCGTATGATCACAGATAGAGAAGATATTTAGGTGGCCTGTTTTAAGCGGAACACCCTATATATTAAAAAAAATTACAAATATTCGTATTTATTCGAATAAAATAACTTATATTTCAAGAACTTGAAATAAAACTTTCTATTTTCATATAATCACTGACAAATGGCAAAGAGAATTAGTAATGTAATATAATAAAATATTCAAACAAATTGACTAGACAAGATAAAAGAAATTTATAAAAACTTGTCTTGTCATTTTTGAAGATATTACAGAAAGCATATCATGTCACTCACGTACTGAAATTTATAATTACTCAATTGTCTGTATGCAATCATAATGCTGATAGAAAATTGGTTTTATGTATTACCCTGCTTTATACAATCTATCGTAAAATGAGCTAATTTCAAATGTCGTTTCGATGCTTTTTACAATGCATTTGTCATTTGAACAAACCATATACTCAAAGGAAAGTGTTCAACAGCATTGAAAGAAAAACGAATAAAAGGTGAAGACAGAAGACTAAATTCCCAAGCACTGCCGCAGTGTTAGGAACATATATCGTAGCTCCCGAGTTCATCCATGGTTCCCAGGTGTTGTTTCTTCTCCTAGGATCAGCCAACCAATCGACTGGTACCTTGATCTGTCTAACTAATATGTGGCCGTATCTTTCTAGGTACAGGTCTAAGTCCCGAGCAATCTGTAAACAGTACATTTATTAATACCATAACTGATGGGGTTACACTAGAGAAAACCCGCTTATTCAAACGGATTTGTTTCTCTATTAGTTCGGATAATCAGTGTTCTACTGTACTTATTTCTAACTATTCCTAAACTCCGTTATAATTGTACATTTCAGTAAACTGTATTGGCAATTACTGCGTTGCATAATTTCCTTCAAACTCGCTTAAGAATAGTAAATAGTATGTTTTTCTGTGCTTCGTCTAACACTTGCATATACAGTATAGGGTGTTAATAATAATGTAGAACACTTTCATAACAAAAATGTTGGAGGACCCGGAAATGCGAGACGTGAGGTGCTTTGAAACAACTTTTTCTTTAACGAAAATGTTGTCCGAGGCTTTGTTAACGAGATATTAACGAAAAACCCCGACCAATCAGAGCGTGAGTCTACCGGCCGAGTTCCCGTGGTAACGTTCGCTACCAAACGCTACCGCAGGAGTTCGGCCGGCAGACTCGGGCTCTGATTGGTCGGGGTTTTTCGTTAATATCTCATTAACAAAGCCTCGGACAACATTTTCGCTAAGGAAAAAGTTGTTTCAGATCATCCCAGGAACCCCATTTTTCACATAGACTAGTGATAAACTCAATATGAATATTACTCACTCTGCGATATGACTCGGCAATGTTTTTCGTTTCGCATGGATCGTTCACTATATCGAATAAACATTCTGTAACATTACACGTGGTAAACACATGTCTATTAAAATATGTCGTGTTTGGACGACACTGGACTGTCGCTTCCCGTCGTAATTGCAACATTGTACTTGGTTGCGTCACTGGGCCTCCTAAATGGTAGGTGATACCTTGAGACACAGAACTTTTCAGTACGAGATCCGAATATGGTGGAACTTCTATCGTTCTGCCAGAATCGCCATAGTATCCATCGTAGTAACCGTTATCGATGGAACCTTAAAAAGAAAAAGTGACATATTTAGAAAGTCTTAACGAAATTACTTGATGTATTTTTCTCCGGAATATAGAATTTCGTAATTTGAAATGCACAGAATATCAAATGAAATACGTTCAATCCAGGCTAATGTACAAATCCCAATTATGTGAATACAGACTCCTCTCGATTATTGTCCAGGCGTCATCCTCACCACTGGGCGAGGGGAAGGCCGTGGAATCTGTCAAACGCATACTTTATTGCCCCTCCGATTTCGTTACCGAGGCTCGGGCTTCGAGCAAGAAACGAATTTACGAGGGTTTGAAGCATTTCTCCCTATAAGATTATTGTCCCGACACGGACCCGATTTCGAGACAATAATCGAGAGGAGTCTGTACTGAGAAATATGGCGATAGCACGCAATTGGACCGTTTTTTCTGTATTATAATTTCTGTCAATACTACAATGTTTTGTACTATAGGTTGCAGTGCGGAAAATTATAAAGTTACTTTAGTTTCATTCGAATCCAAAAGTTACTTAAGGAATTTAAGTCTGATGTATGAAATGAGATAAAGCATAAAAAGAGTATACACATTTACAAAAAAAAGCGGCAATTCACCCAACTGTTATCAAAAACCCTGTACATTTCTCAACCAGCTTGTCATATGTACACATTTAGAAAATCATAAACATTGTTTCGATAAATAGGCTAAATATTCGTAAATTTGCATTTCTGTTGAATAATTTTATAATATACTTATGTATAACAAAACAGAAATACAGTAGACTCTAACTATATTGCCACTGAACACATTGCCACATGAGGTACTTCCTCTTTACACGTACTTTCGCGCACACAAATTCCCTCTCCCACCATGTTGCGTACGCCAGCGCACCAGCACTATCCAACTTTTGCGCAGGCGCTGAGGCCGAGGCCATGGCAACAGAACTTAGCATGGAGGGGACTCTGAACTCATTGCCATTTTACTCCCCAACAGCCCCGAATATGGCAACATAGTTAGAGTCTACTGTATTAGTATAGTTGATGTTTCTGTGTTACGCAATTTACCTCGTAATAATTTAAACCGACTATATATTGCTCCTTCGGTTTTATACATTTCGTCGATGTTTAATAAAAGCTTCTCTCTTCCACGTCCGACGCCTTCGCTGAGAACTCGCCATTGGTCGATACCATCGATCTCACCTAGGTCATTCAAGTCTCCGCCAGCTGCCGAATAAAGAGTCGGTAACCAATCTGTTATATGCACCAATTGGTTCGATACGCGAGCTCCTTTCTGTATCCTTGGTGACCAAAATGCTGCTGCACCTCTCACACCCCCTTCGTACAAAGTGTATTTTGTCTGCAACTCAGAGAAATCAAGCGCACTTTATAAAAATGTTTCAATTGTTAACCTGTATATTCTTTCAAATTTCATAGAATAAGAAAGAATTCATCGAGTGAATGAATATTAATTAACTGTTCAAACGTTTCACCAGGGATATTTAGTTAGTCACAAATGATACGCAATAAAGAATCTATTAAACAAATTAAATTCGTAATCTGTCAAAGATTTGAACACTCGCATGTGCAACTATCATACTGATCATGTACCAGCTGTGGAAAATATTTACGATTATTTCGAATTATAAATTTTTCTTGGTGGACGTGCGAATCATGCACAAACAAAAATAACCCTGAAAATTTCCAAATATCATTAAATGTTCTAACCAAATGAAATAGTTTTTATTATATCGATAACTAACAAGGGAAAATCTCCAGAGCGAAATTCTTTTTCGTTCAAACTAGCATGAACTTGTAGAGAATTAAAATTTATTATTGAACACGGTTTTTTTTGTTTTTGCTAAACAAAACGGTTTGGAAGATTGAAAAAGGGCAAAAACTGCCAAATCCAACTTAACCAAAGCTGACAAATATTGTAGCAATAATGTTTCCCTTAATGATAGTAGTATACCCAGATAGCACATGACGCCTTGAAGACGTCCATTTTACGGCTGTTTTAAGTCTAAGGCGCCTTTAAGCCGTCTTCAAGATGTCACTAGGTGTCGTGTGCTATCTGGGTAGGAATTTTTGTTATACACGTATGGTAGAGGTGTGAATGAGAAAACAAGACACAAAATACTATCCAACCAAGCTAATGTTATAGCAAAAATTAGGACACTTCCCCAGAAAATACCGGGAAACGATGGAGATAATGAAAAACCCTAACAACATCAACAGGGATACAAGCCACCATCTGAACTCAACCTGGAGTTTTCTCCTCCCAGTTTTTTAATTGTTCAGCTAATCAATTAAAACTATGTTTTGATCACAGGCTCCAGTATGTTAGTGGAGCATCACAAGGCACACACTGATGAAGCTAGCTGCAATGCTTGCGAAACGTTGAGAAAATAATTCCACCAGGACACAGCATACACTCGAAAGTCTCAATAGTAATAACTGTAGTCTTCAGTTATATGGTTCATACTTGCCAGAAACAAATTAATTACGATAGCATATTACTTTCCATAATTAGTTATTTTAATTTATTACCTCGCATAGCCAGTTACGTTGTTTTATTTTTAATTATATTAAATTGCTGACTTCATGTCGTAATCTTACCCCTCTCAAAGGGTAGTTTGAGCCCCAGTTTCTGTATCTGCCAATGGACGCAGCCCCGTTGTCTGTGAGAAACAGGATCATAGAGTCCCTGAGCATTCCCTTTTCACCCAACGCGTGAAAGATTCGTCCAACCGAGTCGTCCAATCGTGATACCATTTCTAATTACAATAAAAAAAATGTATAGTTCATAATATAGTTGGAAATAGGATATGTACCCAGCTGATTTAAAACAAATTCAAATATAACAATCAACTTATCAAATAGACTTGAAACCACATCTGAAATTCTTTCTGCTGGAATATCCGAGCCGATAAAGTATTCGAATAATTTATACACCAGTCATGTGGCCAGCAACTGATAATGAGTAGTGAGGAAACGAACTGCACAACAGCAGTCACTACAGGTAATATAAGACTCTGCATGTCATTGTCCTTGAGGGGTCATGGATTTTGGGGTTCCCAGGAACGCAGAGTGAAGTTAGGTCTCTATCACCATAGACGAAATTCTCGTCTGTGCTATCACCTACAATGACCTACATCCATATGTACCCGATATACAGGGTGGTCCACGCAACTAGTTCACCCTGAATAACATCTAAAGGTCATGAGTACCTAGACATATTTTCTTGAAAATATTACGCACAGACCATTTTCAAAAAGCAAAGTGAAACTATTCGTTAATTATTAGGTTTACGGCTAATAAAGCTAGTACTTTTTTTACTCAAAATTTAACGCTCTTCGATAGTTTGGCATAAAAAATATAGGATTCCATTTGAAAAAACGAATCTGACCTTCAAATCGCCGAAATGCTTCCACTTACAAAACAAATATATGCATTACATAACGTATCCCTCCAAACCATACAACTTTTCTATAAAAAGTTTTTTCATGCAATGCATACTTTAGATGTTATTCAGGGTGAACAAGTTGTGTGGACCACCCTGTATATGCAGCGGTGCTAATGTGTTTCATACTCTTATGTTAAGATAGAGCTGATGTGAATTGGAATGGTGGGTATTAAAAGAAAAGATGTAACCACACTACCCCCTACCCCACCGATGGACTCCCCTTGCCGCCGCGATGGTCCAACCTCGTCATTACAGTAAATCCTCGATAAGTGGTTCAAAACTCCTCGGCACAGACAAAGAGAAATCCTCAGGAGTATCATTGACCTTTTAATGAGGTTTAGCACATTTATAGACCTTGGAATTCTGAAGCCAATGATATTTCTTCTAGCCGCATATGGCAATTAGTTTATGAAATATTTAATCTTCAGTGCCGAGGAGCCACCGAACACTCATTGTGGATTTACTGTAGATGGACAGGGTAGAGAGAATCAAATAACCTCCTCATCTAGGGATTTTTTTCTCCTCATATTGGAGGCGCCAGGGACAGAGTCGCCTGTGTAGTTTCTTCATCCAGTCACCATGGTACCATTTATGGAATGATTTTCCCTTCATGAGGACTACACCCCACTTTCAGTCAAGTTATCTCGCCATTCTTGCACTGATAGACCAGCTCAGATACCCCACAGATTAGCTACTCCTGTACTGGAGCTTGGTATAACATCTGAGCGAATATGTGCCTGCAATTGCATTTTATGATTTGCGTATTTTATTGACGTACTGGCGTATTTACGTCGATTTGGTTCACGTATTTGAAGAAATTCCCTATCATTGTATTGGTCCACGGGCTGTTCCAAAGGAGCGTGTACCGCCAGATGCGATATATGAAGATATAGGGGCCTATGGTGTTCATGATTCTCGATAATCCTGATCGCCTCTTCAGTGAATAAGTCCGTTGCGTATTCACGGTTAATCCCGTAAGCAGGATCGTCTCCTCGATGCATATCGTACCCGCTCATGTTCTGAAAAAGATACCGAGTCGATTTGTTTGAAGTAAATCGTTCAAAGTAATTAATGTAGGAATAAGTTTCTTTATAAAATACAAGATCACTGCATACTAACAGAATGTACAGGGTATCCCGCACAACCAAGATAAACTATAGTTTCAAAGTAATCGAAAGCGGAAGAAAGAGAAGAAACTACCTTATGAAAAAATTGGAATTAGTTAAAAGAGAAACTTGAAATATTTCCTGAAGTAACGACTTTCCATCACAAATACTCCAGTGCCTTTTATATTCTAAATGATGATCTATATCTTTTGAATGAAGATTTATGTCTTTTTATATTCTTTCAACAGAAATATGTGAACCCATTAAAAAAAATATCGGTGACCTGGTATATCAAAAAAGTGGCTTCGAAAAAGAATGAATTTCTGTACCGAAACATACTTTCATAACTTTATATCCAAGAAGATATTTAGATGTGCGGTTTTTTGTGAACCACCCTGTATAATAGCGCACATGCGCTTTGAAAATTGTCATATTCCACAGGCGTACCCTGTATAATTAAGAACCCCTTAAATTGCTTTACTTACCTGATTTGAGTATCTATAATCGTAATAGGTAATATGGCTGTTGTAAAAACCAAGGAAAGTATCGAAACCCCTATGTAATGGTGTATACTGAGGTGTATGATATCCCATGTGCCATTTTCCGATTAATTTCGTGGTGTATCCCAATCCTCGTAAATATTCCGGTAAAATTTTTATATTCAACGGCAAACCACGTGGTTCACCACCATGTATTCCATCTCCTTGCATCCCTACGTAACAAACCATTTTGATCTGTTAAGATTTTAAATAAAAAAGAAGAAAGAGAAAAATAAAATTGGTTCTCAGCATACTTAAATTGTTAGTTATTTTGTTGAAACGTGTATTTGAAAATTCTTTGTAATACAGTTATTTACTTATAAATATTGATTGGTAAAAAAACTTCATAATCAAGTTGAATAAGATTGATTCATTTGCATATTCACCATTCCTTATTGTTAGTACTGATCAAAGTTGGTTCGAGCCAGTTCAAGAAAAATTTGTCCTTTATTGAGTTTAGAAAAAATGCCAAATGTCCTTTATTTCGGAAATTAGATAATGCAGAATCTAATGCAAATTAATTATTGTAGGTTTTATTAAATATTGTAGATTTTATTAATTATTGTAGGTTTTATTAAATATTGTAGATTTTATTAATTATTGCAGGTTTTATTAAATATTGTAGGTTTTATTAATTATTGCATGTTAAAAATTAGTATAAATAGATGTTATAAATTAATTAGAGTAGGTTAAAATTAGTGTTAAATAGTTATAAATTAATTATTTTGAGTGTTAGTTTTGTGTAACGTGTAGAGTGTTAAACCCAACGGAGGAACCGCTCGCGGGTGTAACCAATCGCGCAGTGTGTGAACATTTTTCGCGGACGGGACAATCGCTCAGTGTGTGTGGACACTTTTCGTGGACTTCTATGGTGTACATGCATGTGCGGATTAATTTCATAGATACTCGTGGACAGGACAATTGTTATACATGACAACTAGAGGGGGCATTAACTCTCTCTACTCGATAATTATTCGTAAGAAGATATTTACATTTCTTGCGAATTTTATCGAGTAATCACAGTTAATGCGATACAAGTGGATTCGACTCAAATACCACGGGCACATTTATCGACATCTTCTATGGGGTAAGTAGACAGCTGTTCTACCGACTTTTTCTGCACGTCGTTGAGTCTTTAAAGTGACTGTACGCCCCGGCTGAGCCGTGATCCGCTGACACTCCGTGTGCGCGGATTTCCATCATTTGGGTCAATTTTTAAACGCTTATAACTAACAAACGAAGCATTTTTCGCAATTTCGTTATTCTTGATTTTCGTCTTATTTTGCCTCAAAGAATAACCTCTTATATTTTTTCCCACTAGTTTTCGAACACCCTATATATATATATATATATGTATATTTTTTTTCCATAAAATAAAACAAAAATCCTTACAAAATGAACGGTTTTATTTAAAATGAATATTTTATTCCATATATAAGTACAAAACTAACGCATAATGTTTGTAATAATGATGTTATGGTTGATAAATAGCGACCATTAATTACTTACACGAATTTAATACACTAAATATGGCTAAATGTCATATGCTATTTTGGGCTGTCCATAAAGATAGTTCCTTCTTGTACATGAGTACTGTTACAAAGATTACATATACAATTAATTTGGTTAAATTCTGTTGCTCTAAAATTTGCATAATCATCAGAAAACTTATGATTATTATTCTTACTAGTCCATGTTTTACATATAATAAACGATCTGCGGTGGCCGCTGAGTTTGGCCGCTCAGGTGCAGGGGCACCTTCTGCACTCCCGCCAGGAACGGCCCTGGGTATATAGTTGTAGCATTTGATTTAAGGGGTCTCCCTACTGTGACGAGTCAACAATTAGGCGACATTCAAGAATTTTTGTAGAAAAAACTATGAGGTATATCGATGTTAAACTTTTTTCTATGAATTCGTATACACTAATAGGATAAGCTTAATTTGTTTCATTTGAAAATGTAGTACAGATTAAAGGTTACTGTAATTTTCCGGGACTGCCTGAAAAAAATTCCCTCCGTGGCTACCATTATATCAGCTGTCTACGTTATCTCAAATAGAAAATTGAGAAAGATTCTTAATCTGTATGAACATGGCTATTGCCTGTACTAGAATGCATAAAAAAATATTGAAAAATAACAAAATGGTCGAGCGTTGCAAAAAAGTGCCAATTTTCGCGAAAAAAGTCGCTCGTTTTTTAAGTTCCAAATTCGAATGTTGCAAGTATCAACTTCATTATAGTACAGGAGAAAACTATGCACTTACTGAACATGCCTACACAGTTTTGAGTCACTCCGTCAAATAGTTGCTGAGATATCGTGGCAGCCATTTACAAAAATGTCGTTTTGAGAGAAACGCGTTTAAAGTTTCAATTTGAACCTGCGTGCCGCGGCGCGCCCACTTCGGTTAAAGGTTAATAACTTCCTTATTACTTCGAATCGGGCGAAATCTTCTTGGGATTATGGTTTTGAAATATTATGCCTTGAGAAAATGTAAAAAAAAAAGAATCGATTTTTTTCACCCGTCACAGTAGGGAGACACCTTAAAGCAAAAAAAAAGAACATTAATCTTGTGTTACACATACCAATACGTATCGGGTACTGTCCAGTAAAAAAGGCAGTCCTAGAAGGTGTGCTGGACGGCAACACGTAATGTCTGTTCAATATAATTCCATTATATCCCAGAGCGTCGATGTTGGGGGTCAATATTTGATTCGATCCATGAAAACCAATGTCGTTCCATCCCTGTAAGGATATCATAACAGTTTTTAAAGAAACAGAAATGAATCTACATCTCGACGTAGAGGAATATCTAAACAGTGCACCGTAAGCGTAAATTACATTCATACATATAACGCACGAGATAATAGGCCATTATGTAATAAAATGTAACGACGTAATCTAGTAATTGATACGACGGTATGGAGAAGAGGGGGAGAGATTTTTGTTTTGTGGTTATGATGAGTCACAGGCACTAGCATCCTTGTTAATCGCGGAGGCGTAGATAATTTTCGAGCTACGATAATTGTCTTAACTGAGGACAATTTTAATTCAAAACGCTTTCATGCTACAAATTAATCGTAGCGAATTAAGCAAAGCAGGCAGGCAAAAGTAATATGCAAACGGTCACACGTTATATTTGCATTACTCATATTAGGTAGGATATTATAAATAGTTTTTGGCGTTTGTTGTGTACCAATAAATAGTCATCTATTTTCGGTGAAACGCTGTATTTTTTTGCGAAATAATTCAAATATCTATCCTAATTTAACAATTTCCATTATTTGCTCCCAGTACACTTCGTCACCCAGATAGCACGTGCCGCTCAATGACGCCTTGAGGACGGTTTAAAGGCTCATTAGACCTAAAATAGCCGTAAAATGGACGTCCTCAAGGCGTCATGTGTTATCTGGACATTTTGATTAAACAGAAAATTGGAAAGATATTCTGAACCTAAAATGTATTGCCACCATATTGGAACTATAATGAATCAGTTATTGCTACACCCAATATTTAAAACAGACTTTCAAAATAATATTATATTTAGTTTGAATTACATTGAAATTCTAGTCACTTCTACTATCTATCTTGTCTAATTTTAGCGTGAAAAATGTAAGATATACGAGTCACTGCATGACAAATAGCAGAATCGGATAAGCACTACTTAAAGAAATATACAGGGTGAGTCATCCAACACGTACACCTGAATAGCTCCTGATTTATGGGTTACTGAAAAATTATTGTACATAAAAGTTGCATGATTTTTAGGGGAACATTTCATAACGTCTGTAGTTTCTTTGTAGGTGGTGGCGTTACAAAGATTTAAAGGTCAACTTCGATTTTTTTGAATGAAATGTATTTTTTTTATCACATAGTTCGAAAGAATATAGAATTCTGAATAAAAATGTACTACTTTATAACATTTATACATATTTTGCTTCGTTTATCGAAAGTATCCACTCAGTTTATAAATGTACATACATTTATAATATATTTTAGATATTTAATCAGTATTAAAATCCAAAATATCACTGATAATTTGCAGAAATATAAACGTCGATTAATATACATCAGACTCAGATGCATTCAATTAAAAAATTATGCGTTCTTATATAAAAATAAACTACTGTTATTGGTAAAAGTAGCGAAGGAACTCGCACAAAAATATTCGTCCGTAGTCAATATAGTTACTTCACACAAACTTATTATATTGTATAATATTTATAATAAATTAATGGGAATTTACCATAAGTTTTGGTCTGTTATACATATTTTGCACAAGTATGTTTAGAAAATTCGGTATAAACGTTTTTCTACCACTTCTAAAAGAGACAATACATTTTTAGGTAAACTGTATATAATATCTCAGATGAATGTATCCTAATCTAAAGTAAATTAATAATTGTTTAAACTAATATAAATTAAATATGTATGCAGTAAACAGATCCCAAATAAGACATGACGCCTTAAAGACGCCTATTTTACGGCTATTTTAGGTCTAAGGCGTCTTTAAGCCGTCTTCAAGGCTTTATTGAGCGCCATATGCTATCTGGGTATATATATACATATAACAAGTAATAATATACTTGTTTATCACAGCAATATTAATTATTAGAAAATAATAAATGCATTTATACGTTGATTATATCCATATTTCATTTTCAGAAAATTTTCACTTAATTTATCTTTTGCAGTGGATAAAAAATGTTTAAAGCTTGTTTAATACCATGGTTTACGCGGTGTAATTGAAATATTATATACTTTAATCGACAATTACATATTTTAAAAAGGTATAATCAAACGGCATGCAATGAAATTAGGGTGCTTTTATCAGAAATACATTGTAATCATACCAAATCATCAGCCATAAACACAATAATGTGCGGTGCCGTTTCGTAGAGACCAACAACACAACCGATGCACATCAGGAGCAATGGAAACGTATTTATCCAAATGGAAAAAAAATTGCGCATTTTTCACAGAATGGTTAGAAATGCACACCGAAAGTAAACGAAAACTTCAACGCTGGAAAACACTTCCTTTCCGCCACTTTCAAACACAATTCACGAAGAACAGCCTTACGAACATTATGCGGAATGTTTATCGGGCAGTTCCTGCGGGATACAGAAGAATGAGGAACAGAAATAAACACGTTTATATAGTCCACCCACGAAGAAACATGCCATGAATGGACCACATGAAAGGGAAGGGTAAATACACTAATAATTAAGGCAATAAAGGAGGTACGTGTTTCAACTGGGTTGCTTCTCGTCTTACGTCTTCTCTTCTGTACTTATGTAATTACCTATCTGCGTACTATTTCACGTCGTGTGATTTTTATGTTATATTTATATACATATGTATTTTATTAAATTGACCGCCGTATATTATTACTTATAAAGAGAAAATGTGAATAACACAGAAAATTATTGCTGAAATTGTTTATTTTACATCTATGTAATATCGCAACAACTTTGGACAGTATTTGATTATTCGCGATATAAATGATCGATTCGATCATAAAACAATATGTATTTCAGAAATTTCTTAATACCTTGTAAATTTAGCGTTGAGCGCTCGCACACAAAATTTCCGGATTGGAGCATCCATTATGGTTGGCCAACGGTATCCAACAGTTAGGAGATAGTTGAGATATAGTTAGTGTTTTTTCTTACAAATTCCCAAAATAGGGCCTACAACGAAAAAGTTATGACAATTTACCAACGAATATCCAATGTTGAGCCTACAATTGAAACCATAGAAACTGAACATTTAGTACATTGATTTGATTAAAAATGCAAGAAACCCACCTGTCACAGTAGTCGAACAAAATGAATATACTATTAAAGATTTTTAAAAAATAATTTAAAAAATATATATTATTCCAAAAGGTTTGCGAATCAGCGAAGCGGTAAAAATAGAGTATTTTCTTAATGGACAAATAAATGTCTATAGTGAGTATAATGGTAAACAAAAACATTTTTCATAAAAGAAACTGTAACATTCATTGATTTGCAAAAGGCACCGAAACCCGATAATAATGGTATCACGTAAGAAAAAGTATAAGATGTTAAAACATTATTAAACTACCTAAGTCCGGAAGGAAAAGAACATTTCAACAACTTTTTAGCGACGGCTGAAGTGAAACCTAAAAAAAGTCAACCAAAACGACGCAAAAGAAACAAAGAATAAGCAATCGAATGATACAAAAAAATTTATTTTATGTAAGTTATATAAAAAATAAAATGTATATTCTATTAATGCATCATTATTGCAGCAACGAATTTCTCTATTATCCTTAGCAGTGACTCGAGCGAACTTCGAATCAGCGCGCCACGTGCTGCGCGCTTTTGGATATAATTCGTTGCCGTTTCTATAATTTTCAATCAATCCGCCTTATATTTTGCGAAAAACTTCCTCGAACCCTACGGATCAACTTCGTCGCTGAAACTTTTTTCAAATCGAAAGTCTCCTCGATACATTTTTACGGCAAAACTCGAAAACACGGTAACCAATTTACATTAAAATATAATTAAACAAATGAAAGTTTTACTTTTATTCATTCTTAGGAACATAGGGACAAAGTTTCATTCATTTTGAACAAAGATAAAATTTGGGGTTTTATTGTACTTGATAAATTGTAAAGGTAACTTTGCTGGTAAAACACTTGTTTACCTGATTAATACCCAGATAGCACACGTATGTCTTGTGACTGTCTTGAAAATGTCTGTATTCAGACGTTCATGTCATCTTGAAAACGTCTGGTAATATCCTGTGAACAGCCTATCTAGAGCCTGTGAGCGTGTCTTGTGAAAAAACGAATTGTCTTGAAGATGTCTTAAAACGGTCTACCTAGCTATCTTAAAGACAGGTTAAAGCCGTCTTAGGAGGCGTCTTTGTAGGTAATACAAATGTGTTACAGAGATCTTGTAGACATTTTAAGGCTGTCTTATAGATTTTTAACAGACATGTTAGATATGGCTTATAGGCATATTAAAGATATGTTACACACAGTTTAAAGATGGCTTCATGAAGTCTTATAGACGTGTGTCACAGGTAGGTAAGGAATAGTGGTTGAGAATAGATAAATGTTATTACACTAAAACAGAATTTAATGAAAATTCATTTTATTTCAAATATTGATAAAACTACATTGTAAATGTAATATGTGCGTACAAACACTGTAGGGCTTATATGTATAATATTTTGCCATGTCATAATCGTAAAACGATTTCTTACACACTCCACATTATATTGTTTACTAACTCTTTTCTTTCCCTGATAACCAGTTATCTGCAAGTTTCGGGCAAGTTGTCAACAATAATGTACAACTGTTGTCTACAAAACCGTAGCCATCTATTTCCGCATTTGACTACGGTTTTGTAGACAACGCTTAATGTCAACATATTTGCGCAAATTGCACGCAACTGTTGTAGGGTAGTTGACATTGAGGTAGATCATAGACATAGTACAGACATGGCTTGATAAATGTGAATGCCTCGGTTCCGCGGAGTCAAACTCATGAAAACACACGGGGACAGTTGTCGGCACCTCGTCAGTTGTTTGCTCGAAGCTCGAGCCTCGGCCGCTTGCCTTTGAAGTGTTCCGACATAGAAAAGGACAAGCGACGTAGAGAACAAACAGATAAAGCATCTCTTTCCACTCGATTCGACTGTGTGAACCGTGAACCCGCCTGCGACGCTCCCACCGGCCAATGGTTACATTATAACCGATCACACAGTCCGATTGCGTGTGTACCGTTTCGGCCAATAATAATATGACGTGAGAATGGAGGTGATCCAACTACATTTTATTCGTCGACAGCTCTCTGGGCAGTCGCTGACGACTGAACACTTCGATTAATCGTCGTACATTCCCCCGCTTCGTCCGCCGAATACCTAGATCGCATACATTGTTGCACGGCGCGCCGAGACGGCTTCCCATTCACGAGCCAAAAAATATTACATTCCCATGTATTGGCGAGATAATGCTAATGCAACGGTGAAACTTTTCTATTTTTGATTCGTTGTTAATGAAACTTTTACTAGTATATTGGTGAGATTTTTCTGATTAAAATGATACTAAACACGACATAATTTGCATCATATTTACTCATGTAGAAAGTGTTAACAATTCATATTTGTTCATTATCGTTTCTGATAAATCATAAATAAATATGGTCCAAATTATATCGTGTTTGGTATCATTTTAATCAGAAAAATCTCACGAATATGCTCGTAAAAGTTTCGTTAACAAAGACCCAAAAACAAAAAAAAGCTTCATCGTTGCATTAGTATTGTGTCACTCGATGCCCGGGCATGTAATCTCTTCTTGATCTCCCCTCGTTCAGCTGGCGGCTCGTGAAAGGGAAGCCGCCGCGGCGCGCAGCGCAAAAAATTATACGTTTGACTGGTTCCACGACCCCCTTTCCCAGTGGTGGGGATGACGACATCACACTTATCGTGGCCCAGTCGGCTCACACTTATCGAGCCATTTCTGTAATAAAGGAAGGGAGCGTAAGCGAATTGGGGCAAAGCGACTTCCGGGGAGTGGGGAACACGGTCACGTGGTACTCTGAGCCATATTAGCGTTTGGTTATGATCGTGCAAGCGCATGGCGCAATCTTGTTTTCATCGAGTAAAAGTGTGCCCACTGTAACCAGTTGAGGTTAAGGAATTATTTTGGACAAAAATATTAATATCTCAAAAATGGTCTGTGACTGCAGTTAGCTTCAGAAGTCGACTATTGAAAATTGAAGGGAATAAATGTCTAGTCTCCAACCTTTCATAAAAAATTTAATTATCGCGTTTGTTTTACTTTTGTAAGCATTTATAAAAATGTTGATGTTTTCTAAATAACATAGTATAATTTTCCAGTGAAAAATGTAAACATCTAAATTACATTAGTCATTTCTATTCAAAGACTATTTAGAACAAATATTCAAGCAACGATGTACATTTAACATGTCGGATATCTCGAGGACATGAATTTCAGACATCGTAAAGACGTCTATCTCACATGTTCCGAGGACATCCTGAGGACGCGAATTTCAAACATCGCTACGACGTGTCTTCTGGTACATCTTGCAGATGTCTCCAGGACGTGAATTTTATACGTCATTAGGATGTCCTATTTCAGACAGCTTTAAACCATCTTTATTAGGTCCTAGGAGATTCAGACCTAAAACAGCTATAAAACAGACATCTTGAAGATATCGTGTGCTATCTGGATATACTCCGTCTTATACTCCTTCAAATATTTGTAAAGGATTTTATTAGTGTAGTATAGCCAACTGTCTCCCTATTATTGATTTATTGTACACCGACGAGCAAACTCGGCTTCCACTAGGGGAAAAAGTGATGTAGGGGAAGGACCTCCTGCTATTTGGTTTCGGGAATAATTGAAATGTATGTCACATTAACATTCAATTTAACATTTATTTCAGTAATTGGAATAAGTTTACCAAGTGGTAGGAGGTCCTTCTCCTACGTCACTTTTTTCCCTAGCGGAAGCTGAGTTTGCTCGCGGGTGTACATACTCAACAATTGGCCCTACAGAAAGAAACCTTCAGTTGGCACTTCATAGTATAATGACGTGAGCCCTACGTTGGGTATGACTTTTAGCCTAGTTGCAAAAAAAGGTAGCAATTCTAAACGTTGGCCAACCAATACCCAGAGCACATGACGCTCAATGACGCTTTCAAGACGGCCTAAGGCGAGACGCCTTAGACCTCAAATAGCCATAAAATGGGCGTCTTCAAGGCGTCATGTACTCTCTAGGTCCATAATTAAAGATATATGCATAGTATCAAAATCAAACGTACCTTACAGGCCGGATATTTCCGTTCCTCACTGTATGTACATATTTTATAAATGTGCTACCATTTCGCCTTCGGTTTTGTCTATTTGCTCTGCCTACTGTGAAAGTCAGTAGGAACAGCCCGAATTAATACCAATTTCCTCATTCATTTATTGTGACATTTACATACTATTTATTATAATTAGAAAATCCCTCGTTATCTTCAAGAAATTAAAGATAGTACAGAAAACACATGTGCTATCAGTTTGTCTGACACTAAGACTGTACCTCTAACAATATTGCATTAATCCTTGGACAATGACTGGGTCTCATTGACCAGAATTTTCAAGGACTTGTCAGTTAGGTTTTTATATCATTTAATATTTAAATGGAATATGTTCAAGGTACAAGAAAAAATATACTGTTACAATATTTCTTATTATTCTTTTGTAACTGTAGTATAATTGTATGAAAACACATTAGATATTTGAAAGTGATTTATTTTATATTTACAAAACTTTGTTTGATAAAATTGTGTTTATAAAATTTACACAAGTACATAAAGATTCAAGATTTTAAAGTACATAAACTTTCAAGATTCACAACAGGGTATCAAAATTATATTACATTTCCTTATACCTACAAAGTGTAAGTTTGTAAGAATTGTTTTAATCTATTATATTGCATTATATTCGTAACATAGATATATATAACTTTACAGAACTGGCCAGGTTCGAGAAAATTTGTACTGCAACTTTACTATTGCATATTTAAACATTAATGTCTACTTGTAAAAATTCAAACCTCATGTGTATTCATTAACCACTAAAAGATGTTCAGTTTACATTATTGTGTTAATGATCACAAATAAAACAAGACACTTTAAAGGAACACATGAAAAATTATAGAACTTTAATTTTTAACCTGAAAGGTATTAATGTACTCAACTGTATTCAATAACATGTTCTTCGCCACATACATTATCAGTGTTTATAATTGAATAATTCTGTTCTTTATCTTAATTTTGCAATGAAACATGAAAAAAGGAAAATAAAATTTTACATAATTCATAGTCAATGCTGTATTTTTATATTCCAACATTAATATTCAAGTTTTTTGTAAAATCTTAAAATTCCTTCCAGGACGTGATATTTTAAGTGGGATAATACGTTTTTGCACAACTTTTTTTATAATAATCCAATACAATAATTATATTATTATATACACAAAAATACAAATTCTTATTAATTTTTTATTGTACTTCACACTGTATTTTAATATAAATATTGGAATTGTATTATTCACAAAAATTGTAATATATTAAACTTCATTAAAAACTCATGAATTTCAATTAATGAGTTTCATGTGAATCTTTGTATTGTACCATGGTCTTTCATTTTTTCCAGTGCATGTAGATTATCCCACCAAAGTAGTAATTTATGTTTAAGAATTAAACGAAACCATGGACTCAATGGCGAATCTAGCTTGTTTACAAACTCATTAATTCCAGATTTTGACACCCAATGAAGTTCGCTAATTTCATCAAGGTTGGGGTCCAACGTTACATCATCTTTTTGTAGAAATAACATATAATCTATTTCATGTTCACCCCAATCACCATTTACTGCAAAATAATGAATTCTTGTTAAATACAAGAAATCCGATGGTAGAATTTGTGTCAAAGGAATCCCTAATTCATAATTGAGTCTCCTTCTGGCTGCTATGCGAATTCCTAATGCATCCTGTTCTTCAGTTTCACTTAGTATTTCTGCCAATGGATGACTGCAACATGTATTTGTGTAACAGTTTGGAAATGTAACCTACAATGAAACAAGTTATTGTTCTCAATATGTCAATTTTATGAAATGAATGTAACAGTATTCTTTTTCTACCTTATTAGCAGATCGTTTTTGTAGCAGTAACTCTCCCTTACGATTGAAAAGGAAAACACTAAATGCCCTATGAAGTGGAATATATCCGTTTGAGTCTACTGTGTGACAGTCCTTTTTCGTAGCTTCACCAATTGGTTTATCCCATTTATTAACAAGGATACAACGTTCACTTAAAGCAGCCTCTTGCAAAGGTGCTACTCCTACAGTACCAAATTTTCTCATTGTTGGTATTATATTTCGTGCAAACGCATCTACTTCCTTTAACGTTCTACCCATAATTGTAACGTACATATTGTGCAACTAATTTTCAATGTTGAAGATGTACTGCTTTATAGCTTGTAACGTATGCAAATAATAGGTTAACTAAATCATTGACCTCGTAACAATTTAAGAGATAAATAACATTAGAATGAATAATTTAACTGGAAGTATAATACGTTTTACGAACAAAACACTTTCCATCATAAAAAAAATACGGTCGCTACTTTCATAGACGCGCGCACACATGCAACAGAACGAACTCAACGTTAACGGTACCGCCTCCTGAATCTGAATACTGCTGAATGCCACTGAATATATAAGTATACAACGTTCTTCGACATATACTTATTTAGTACTTTGATCTTAGATATACTGTGAAACTGTCAATTATAAACCAACAAGCTTATTTTTTCACCAATATGCAACAAGAATGTCTAGCGAACAGCTGTGCAAATCGCGAGACTTATTTTTGTATTGTTCTAAAAAAAAAACCTTAAAATGGAATCTTTCATAATGATGACAACAGTATTTACTTGAAAGTATGTACACATAGAGACACTATAATAAGAGACTGGTACCTGGCACCGAGCTATTAGCTACCATGAATTTACTAAATCGTACGAGAGAGAAAGAAATATACACTTTTTCACTCGTAACCTATAGAAACGTTAATAGCGGTATTTTGTTATGTATATGAGACATATAAATAATAGTAATTATGAAAATGAGGACCAAGAATATTTCTCAGAATTTCTTCAATATTTGTCAATGGAAAAATCAGAAACCATTTAAACACTGTAAACATTCTTGTTAATAAAGTAACTTATACCAAGCAAAACAGAAGATTACTATGATATAAAAATGATATTAACAAGACGTTAAAAGACATCATTCTGAAGTTTCATTTATGTCATTTTAATATCATTGTAATCTTAAATATTTTCCTTTACTTTATATTGGAATGGAAAGTTCATTTATAATACTAAATTAATGTCAACAATTATAAGATATTAATTACTGCCGAAAGATAATAAAATTGTATTTCACAACCATAATTATAGCACCGACGAGGTATTGGGTATAGGTATAGAGTTTTTATCCAATGTATTTCAATGTATTTCTTCCGCTCACTTTTCTGTGATTTTTAAGGTGTCGGTACTACAGTTTAGGTGGGCCACCAACTACCATAAGATAAGAAAATGTTTTCATACAATTCTTATACATACCTCGTCGGTGATTATAGATTAAAAAAGTTGTTCTTCTTTCACTTTTCACTTTAATTTATTTATTTCACTTTGTTTCTGTTATTTTATTTAATTATTGTAAATAAATAATACAAGCGTAATAATTATGTATATGAAAAATACATTGGTAAGTTAATACTATGATCACAGACGAGGTATAGCTCCTATACCTCGTCTGTGCTATGATTATATGAAATAAAATTTTATGAACACACATATGTTATGTTTATTACTATCCAATTTTGTATTTTAAGATAAATAAATATTATAAAACATTAGAATTATATATTAAAGAATCTTTTTTACTAACTTTCAAACATTCCTTTTCTTAAAATTGTGTTACAATTAAGATTAGTATAATTCATAGATTTAAAATGAGTGGGAATAGCAAAGATTTGGCGAGCCAATCAAAACTGGCTGGCTCAAGTCCAGTCTCTTATTATAGTGTCTCTACTTCAAAGTAATTACATAAATCTAATTGAAATTCAGAATTTTAAATAAGGTTTTCAATGTAATTGTTTGTTTTGTGTTGTCTATTAAATTAAGCGCATTTAACAGCACAACAAAAAGTATAAGAAAATTGAATATAAGCGAAAATGATAAAGATTGATATGCATTATTTGAATTACAATGATCGATAGTTCTCGTTGTTTCTCGTTTTCGATCAATCGAATCGCTGTGTGGGATAGTTGAGTAGGAGGAGCAGGATTGAGAGAGGAGAGTTTCGCGATTCAGTGTGTCTGGAATAAAGTCCGTTATATAAAAAAAAAGTTATTCTTTCTTTAATGTGTTATTTATTATCTACGTTTCGGTATAATTTAAGTAATTTTACATCCAATTGTTAATTTGCTGCTGAAAAAAAACACAAAATGAGTGAGAACGCAGAAATCATAGGAGTAACATTGCCTGAAGATGCGGCCAAAGCGGAAAAGTTTAAAGAAGAAGCTAACGAATACTTCAAAAGTGCGTTTATAGAGTCTTATTTTAAATTTAACATCACAGTTTCTTTTATACTGTGTTGCGAGATCTAAAAGATGTTAGCAATTATCATTAGATTAATACAATAACGTCACGTGTGTGTTTAAAACTAACCAAACTTCTGCAACGTAAATGATCATTAAATTACATGGAATGAAACTTCATCATTGAAAGTAGTCAGTTAAAAATTTTAAACAAGCGTGTCACTGTCATATTTTTTTGTACGGTGTCACTTTTAAATAATTATTTTCATATTTGAAAATATCCTTTACAAATGTGACATTCAAATTTTTCCATGACATATCTTACTTATGTTATTTATCTCACATATTTCACATTATATTGTACAAGTGTCCATAGTATGATTACATAAAAACTAAGTAAATATATTTATTGTTTGTGGTGTGGAATTAATACAAGCATTTAATACGACCAATTGATTTATGTCTATAATAACCTTGTTCCATTATTTTTTAGATCATGATTATAACAAAGCCATAGATTTCTACACTAAAGCCATAGAATTCAATCCTTCGGTGGCAGTATATTATGGGAATAGAAGTTTTGCCTATTTGAAATTAGAATGTTTTGGATATGCACTTATAGATGCATCAAAAGCTATTGAGTTAGATAAAAATTATGTAAAAGGATATTACCGTCGAGCTGCTGCTCATATGTCACTTGGCAAGTTCAAACTAGCTGTTAAGGACTATAAAACTGTTATTACAGCAAGACCAAATGACAAAGATGCAATGCTTAAATATACAGAATGTAGTAAGATACTAAAAAAATTAGCTTTTGAGAAAGCAATTTCTGTGAATGAAAATAAGAAGAATATAGCTGATACGATTAATTTAGAAGCTATGGGTATGTTTGACCAATATAATATAATATAGTCCAATGCTCTCGCTGCAGTACTGATAAGTCTGCACTGCCTTTTCAGTACTGCAGTTAGAGGATCACACTGTATGACATAATGTTTGACCACAGTGATTCAATAAGTTAAAGTGTTACAAAGACCTATCAAATTGGTTAATTAGATTTCCTTATACATTACAGCCATCGAAGATGAATATACAGGACCTAAACTTGAAGATGGAAAAGTTACATTACAGTTTATGCAGGATTTGTTAGAATGGTACAAGAAACAAAACAAATTGCACCGTAAATATGCCTACAAGATTCTTTTAGATGTGAAAGCATGGTTCATGGAACAACCAAGTTTAGTTGATATTACAATCCCTGAGGATAGTAAATTTACTATCTGTGGAGATGTACATGGACAGTACTATGATTTACTTAATATATTCCAGTTAAATGCATTACCTTCAGAAACTAATCCATATGTATCCTTTGCATTAATGATTGCATTATATTTGTCTCTGTCTTTCAAAAGTATGACTTATGAAATTTGTTTCTTAACAGTTGTATAGTTATTCAATGGAGATTTTGTTGACAGAGGCTCATTTTCTGTAGAATGTATATTTACTTTATTCGGATTTAAGTTGTTGTATCCAAATCACTTTTTTATGTCTAGAGGTATGTAAGTATTGGTTTATTTGTTTTATTAACAAATAGTGTACATTTATTATAAGATAAAATATTTAGGTAATCACGAATCTGACACCATGAATCAAATGTATGGATTCGACGGAGAAGTCAAAACAAAATACTCTGCTCAAATGGCAGAATTATTTACAGAAGTTTACAATTGGCTTCCTCTTGCACATTGTCTTAATAACAGAGTGCTCGTAAGTTTATATAATTATATGTATAAAGATATTTTAAGGTGACTTCAACAATTTTGTCAGTATGTGTCAATTAATCATTGCATGTAAATATAAAAATTATTTTGTAGGTAATGCATGGTGGTCTATTTTCAAGGGATGATGTTACATTAGAAAAAATCCGACAAATTGATAGAAATAGGCAACCACCGGAAAAAGGATTAATGTGTGAATTATTGTGGTCGGATCCACAACCACAGCTGGGTAGAGCACCCAGTAAGAGAGGAGTTGGTGTTCAATTTGGACCTGATGTTACGCAGAATTTTCTTGCTCTGAACCATCTTGATTACATTGTAAGAAGTCATGAAGTGAAAAATGATGGATATGAAGTAGATCACGATGGAAAATGTATCACTGTGTTCTCTGCCCCAAATTATTGGTATGTTAAATACATATTTCATGAGCTTATTTTTATTTAACACTTTGTGTATAAAATTTTAATTTTGTTTAATTATTGCAGTGATACTGTGGGTAATCGGGGTGCCTTTATTACACTCAATGGCAAAGACATGGAACCCCACTTCACATCATACGATGCAGTGGTATGTTACCTATTTTTAATAGATTGCTTTAATGTGTCTTCCTACATTATACGAGCATATTATTTCAGCCTCATCCAAATGTAAGGCCAATGGTATATGCTAATTCTCTACTAAAATTCATGTGCTAGTGGAACACTCTAGGTACTGTAGGTACTCTAGGTAAATAAATAAGAAACGATAAATGAATACGAGTAGACCAATCGAAGTTGCGTAATATATTTGATACCGAAATGGAGGAGATGAGAAATACTGTCTTCTCCAGAACAATAAATATTGTATTCTTTTTAGGAACGAGAAAATTTTCTGTATGATAATAAATGCAATGAAGGCATAATATTGATGGGTACAAAAATGATAGAAGTTTGCTTATTTTGATAACATACGAACAGATATGTATCAAATCATCTTGTGTAAGGATAACGTTTCATTAGCTGTTTGTGTTTCATTATAAGGAAGTAATGTAAAAACAAAACATTTCTATTTTGTACCCTCAATTAAACCATATTGTTCATTAAAGATAATTTATATGTTAGTGTTCACGCACAAACTGAAGAAATGATCTCAAAGATCTCGAACAGATTATAGTATATTCTAATATGGTGCTGAACATGTAATGAACACACCTATTATGCTCTTAATTTATTCTTTAATGAATAATGATGGTTTCTACAAAACAATGAATATGATAAAGATATCTAACATGCATGCGCTCTAGCATCACTATGTAGTACAATTCTCCAGCCAGTCACTATTTGTCACAATATTTGTGACACCTACTTTTTTACTTTCACCTAACATTTTGTTTTTTTTTGTTAATAATAAACAATGTTTATAACGTATTCGAGATTCATATTGTTTTCATTGAAGCAATGAAAATTGTACCTTACAAAATGAGACGAACGATTTCTTTCACTAAACTATCCCGATTTTCACGATTTACGGTTATAACTTTCGATTTTTTATCTGCTTGAAGATTTTGAAATAATGACAAATATCTCTGTGGAATTTTATGCATTTCAGGTATCGTTGCAATTATAAAAGGTTCATTTCTACTTCCAGAAAATAATTTCAGTATTTTATCATGAAATTTCTGACTAAACAGTTCCATTTTACCAATTTCGTCTATAATTAATATGTCCTATGAAAATAAAACCTTAGTTACTTATTTGCAAAATAAGTACATATAAGATATCTAAAAATAATTTGCTTACTGCAGTTGAGTCAAAGACTGGTAATGCTACTGTTTCCAAATTACTAAGAAACACGTAATAATTTCCCACTTTATATTTAGAACGTTGTGATGGATCTATCACATCTCTGTATGCAAATAACGACGCTTTAAAAGAAAATTAATGTTTTTATAATTATAAATTGATACTAACTTAACTCTTGCCAATGTCAATTTTCTTCCAGAACTGTTGATGGGTACAACATCGAATCCAATTCTGTTGCCAATGTCATTCCGTACTTCCTCTGTATAGAATCCATCAACCTTATGAGTTTGTTCTTTTAAGTTTGAAATTATCTCTTTGCATATTGTACTTTTTCCTATGCCTAGTATAGTTTAATTGCAGTTACTATACATAAATCTTTTTGTTTATAAGAAATGTGATTCAATCATTATTAAAAAGTCAAACATACTGAACAAAATATTTATATTAATTATGGTTATTGTATAGTGTTGTTACAATTGCCGAATATTTTATAATATTGAAAAATAATGTAATGTTTCGATATTTAATTGATCAAAAAGTATAAATATCTCAGTGTATTATAGACGTAAATTTTTGTTAAATATTCCACGAATTAAACTCGAGTAATTGCTGGAATATTATAAACTTCTTAAAAGTCGCGGACTTACCGGGGGGACCGGTGAGAAGTACACGCGAGATACATAACGTGGCGCCGTTCTGTCCATCCATGTTCTCGTTTTTCTTTACCTTCGACCAAAGATTGCGAAAAATGACAGTTGCACGTAACTTAAAAATAATAAAGCTTTTGAATATACAAAAAGGAAATTGTGATTTCATATGTTCGTGAATGAAAATTTGAGATGCACGCAACAAAAACACCGAAATCAGACCGGAGAAGAAAGATTGGTAGAATTATCGCGACGTGGAACCGCTGAATAGCGATCAGCTGATCGTGCTTGAGTAAGACAATCCGCTCGAGTGGGCACAAACGCTTGTGTGTATATGTAGGTATTTCATACTTTGGCTGCGTCGACAGTGCGTTCGTGCGTGATACGCGCCTCGTGCGACTTGTGTTTGTGTTTGTGTATGTGTGTGTGTGTGAGTTCGTGAAACGTACAATCCGCGACACGTCTGTCACAGAATAAATATAAGATCGACTACAACGAAACTTATAATAGTCGCAACTTCTATTAGTCTCGCGGGCTTGATTGCGCCACAAATCCGTCTGTTTGTTAAGTTTTCCCGGTTTTTTGATCAGAAGACGCGAGATATCTTTAGAATTTTGAGTTTACACGAAGGATCTTAAACGAACAAGAGAATACGGGCGTTTCAGGATACATGGAAGAAAGGGACGAAAGGTGAAGACGACGGTTTTATCCGTTTTCGCGTACATATCAGTACCTATAAAGAAGAAATGGCTCGTCCTTCCGTCTGTAATCCACTTTCGTACCTTATCACACGACAGATCGACAATAAAGTTGATCATTGCAAACGTCTAGTTAACGCTAGATTCGAAACCTCTGAAACTCTATTCAGAAAGGATCTTTTATCTCATTATGGATGTGTTAATGCAATTGAATTTTCGAATCAGGGAGATCTTCTTGTCTCCGGTAAGAAACTAAAATTACATTTATTACTTTTTATTTTGATTAGTATTCTAACCATCGATTTTGACAATCGGAGTTTGGACGGATAATTGAAACTGCTTAAGAAATTTGAGAAATTTTGTAGCATTTTGACATTTTATGAAACCACACATTTTTTAAGCAAGCTTTTAATACATATTTTCTAATAGATCAAATTAACCACTAAAGTGAAAAGTAAATACTACAACATAAAATTAATTTGACAGGTGGCGATGACAGGAGGGTATTATTATGGAGAGTGGAACAGGCAATAGACGGTGTGGGTAAACCTGCAGTGATGAAAGCTCAACATATTAGCAACATTTTTTGTCTTGGTTATGACAACAGTAAAACAAAAATATTTTCTGCAGGAAACGATGATCAAGTCATTGTTCATGATTTACGAACGTATGGATACTTTCAGTTACAGACAATTAAATATAATAATTGACAATGAAATAATTGTTTATACTCTATAGGGGCGATGTTGTAAATTTCTTTTTACATGAAAAGCCTGTGTACGGCTTATCGGTCCATCCACACAACGATAATGTGTTTGCTAGTGCTTGTGATGACGGAAGAGTTCTTATTTATGATATAAGAGGTTCCAGTGCTATGGAAACTTTTTGCTTGGCAAAATACAAAACTGCGTTTCATTCTGTAATGTTTAATCCTATGGAGCCTAAGATGCTTGCTACCGCCAATGCAAAAGAAGGTGTTGGCATGTGGGATGTCAGAAAACTTTTGGAGTAAGTAAGTTAAATAGATTGAATATACATATATATATATATTCAATAATAAATACATTTTTTTTATATGAATGTATACAGACCTGTGTTACGTTATGGAAATGAAAGCTCAGCACAGAGTTGTATGAATGTTAGTTTTAATGCAGCAGGTAATAGATTATTAGCTTTGAGAAGAAGATTACCACCTGTACTTTATGCAGTCGATTCTCCTACACACTTATGTCAATTCGATCATCCTGGATATTATAATAGCTGTACAATGAAATCGTGTTGTTTTGCTGGAGATAATGATGAATATGTTCTTTCTGGTAAATAGTAATTTTGTAAATGTATACGAGCCATTAATATGTATACATATCTACATAATTTTATTCATTTTAGGTTCTGACGACTTCAATTTGTACATGTGGAAAATTCCCCCTGAAGGTGTAAAATGGGTAGAATCTGCACATATGGTATTACGTGGTCATAGATCCATTGTTAATCAAGTACGATACAATCAGGCTAGTTGCATTTTTGCTTCTTCTGGAGTTGAAAAAATTATTAAAATCTGGAGTCCATTTTCTCTTGGACCTAGCTGTTTGGGTGGATTGAAGGTAATATGTAACAGATAACATAATTTTGACGAAATTTTTTTATCATTGTTTATATTTTATTTGATGCATTTGAATTTATAGAAAGACGCAGGTCCTCGAATCAGGCAACGTAGAGTATTTACTCACGATGAATATATTGGATTAGTATTACGTAGCGGACAGTTTATGACACACGACTATAGTCATCAATCAACTAGAGAAGATCCAAGAATGATGGCATTCTTTGATTCTTTAGTACAACGTGAGATTGAGGGTTGGAGTTCTGAATACATGACATCAGCACCAGAAACACCTAGCGACTCTGAAAATAATCCTCCAACTGAACGTGCTTATAACGCAACTGATTCTGATGGTATACTATATTTTTAGGATAGGTTTATATCGAATTAATTGATAGTTCACCAAATGATACATGTATTGTATAAAATAACTTTGTAGATCCAGCAACATCTGATCGTCAATTGATATTACGTATTTTGGAATCAGCAGGGAGTGGATTAGTTCCTGAAAGACCTTTAGGGTCTCCAAACCGCATAACACGACTTATAGCAAATCGCAGAGAAAAACTGATGAGACTTGCAGCTATGGATTGCGGGGCACCATTAAATAATATTTCTTCTGTGGCTCCTGGTCTATCTGGATCCGATTCTGCTAGTGACGGGGAAAATGCACAAACAAAGTGTAGATCGAAATCAAAATTAAAAATAAAAGGAGTAAAGAGAAAACATGATAAAATTATGTATTCCGCAAGAAGGAGTAGGAGGGCCAGAAGAAAGTGTGCTGTGCTACAAATTAACAGTGACTCTGATAGTGACGAACAACCTGTTGATACAACACAGCCTAGTACCAGTTCCGGTGTAATTTCTAGAAGATCACGATATGTTACAAACGCAATCGAAAGTGACACAAAACATTCAAGTTACAGCAGTAGCAGTTCAGAGGATAATGATAGTTCTAGTAAGCGAAAACGTTCAAAACCTGATTCCGATACTTCTACAACAGTGCATAGAAGGAAGCATGGAAAATGTAAGAGTAACTCAAGAAATGATATTGCTAAAAGCAAAAGCAAACGTCAACAGATTGATTGTGATACAGACGAAGAAAAGTCGGATTGGAAGATTTATTTAAGCGGTGTTACCACAACAAAGATTCAAGAAGATAGTCCGTCAACGCCTGTAAACAAATCATGCAAAGTTCCTTCAACTCCCGACAGCGGTATTACATCAGGAGTATCGACAGTTGAAAAGAATGGTGAAGAAGCACAGAAAGAGCAGAACGACGCAGAGAGTTCGGATCATGAACAGAAATTGATGAGTTTAGAGTGTTTTAGGAAGAAAGTGGATGTAGCTAGAAGGAGCTATCATAATCGTTCTACGCCTTTGTCGCAGACCATTTCAACTACAACTGATTCTTCCGATTAAGCTCCTATTACCTTCAGACTTTTAATCCCTTTCCCCGTGTACATAATGAATCTGTGATTCCTTGAAGTATATTTTTATAATACTAAGTTTGATCAAACACGAATATGGTCGTTTTTTTCTATTTTCTTTTAATTTTTATTATCTTCTTATTCATTTTTGTTATCCTTGTAAGTATCCCTATCATACGAAAAAATCCTAAACATAAATATTTTATCGGAATCTCTCATGATACAAGACATCCCCATAATACTTTTATTGGAATCTCTCATGGTATAAAACTGTTTCAGAGTAATAATACCTTAAAAGGATCGATAATAAATGTGTTTTCATCATATTCAATGACCTGATCGTGATTTAATCACAAATCAAGTATATTACAAATGATATAGGAAGTTATAAATTTTGTAGCCTCACATTGGTGATATCATTAACGACCGCCATCATAATTATTTGAAACAAATCGGTTTCTTTATTGCAAGATAAACATGTTTGTACATGACCATTAAATCATATGTAATCGAAACTACACACCGTCGAGAATTATATATAAATTAACGTTACATTAGCTATAACAATGCGACTCAGCTAATGTGTATTGTTGATATGGTTTGTAAGTGTGATGGAAAATAATAAAACAATAAATTAATATACTTTTTTTTTATATGTTCAGCTTTGGAAACAAATTAAGAATATTACATTATTTAATCCTGCATTTATACTTCTCTATTAACTTATAATAAATAAAGGAAAGAATTATTTAAATTCATGCATTATTTCATTACCGCGAGTTTAAATGCGGTTGACACCACGGAACATTAATACTAAAGATTTCTTACGATACATCATTGTGGTTTCCAGATATTTATATCTGACTTCCTGCGATTATAAATCACCTTATTCCTTAAAAGGTTTAAGAAGCAGTATGTATAATACCCTCTCGCCAGTAGTATTATTAACTTTAATTACTTAAAATGTTAAATTTATCTTTATTAGTTACATTTAACATGTGGTTTTTTGGTGTTGTGCTTGTAATATTGAAATATAACGTACTAATGTATAATTTGGACGTTCATAGTGTTCAAATACGCAATGCTTTTTCAACACCGTATTCCAAACAAAGAGGAAGTTACTTTGGCTATTCCATTGCATTTTATGTAAATGGAAATGATTCAATTTTACTTGTTGGGGCTCCCAGGGCGAATGTAAGTACATTACAAGGTGTAATTGAACCAGGAACTGTATACCAATGTCCACTTAATAATGCATGCAAAGAGTGGCATATTGATGAAACTGGAAATGGTCAACATAAACATATCTATAGAGAAAAACAAAGTAAAGATAATGCATGGATTGGTGCAACAATTGCTGTAGAAAACAAAAATTCTCCAAGAATTGTGGTATGTTAAGATTTGATCTATATTCTTATAACCACTCTTTTAGATTTTCTTTTGCAGATATAATCCTAACTACTATATTTATGTAGATTTGCGGTCCACGATGGACGCTTATTGATTTACGTTGGACGGTGAATAGATTCATGACTGGCATTTGTTACTGGGCAGAAATTAAATCTTTTAACAAAGAAGTCAAACATGGAATAGTATCGTTTTCCGACCAGTCGCAATTAATAATTACTAGAAGAAATCAGTATGTTTACAATTTGGGAATGGGTCTAGCTGGATTTTCTTTACATGTGTCTAACAAAGTGCAATGGACAGTAATATTAGGTGCTCCTGGTGCACTTAGTTGGAGAGGTACATCCTTCTTAGTTACAGAGTCTTCTAAAAAAAAAATAGAAACAATAAATCTATTTCCTACTTATGAAGTAGAATTTGACAGTGGTGATTACTCTGGTAAGTATAGTTTAAGTCTTTTATCCATATGTATTATATCAACAATCAATTATTACTACATAGGGTAACTAACCAGAAACAGAATAGCCAAATATTTTACTAAAAAATCACATTAAGATTATGAACATTGTTTTTTATTGAGATCATCTTTTAAAATGTATTTAAGTTAGCTATGTTTTTCTGAATACAAAGTATTATATCCTCATCTCCCGAATATTATAATTTACATATTGTTTTCTATTTTTCCCACTATATTGTAGTACAACCTTGAACTTTCCTTGAACGTATATACATATATTATTTACTGATACCTCTTTTCTCCTATCGGGTCTCAAGAAGACATATATATGTACCCATCCCAAATAGCACACAGACGACTTAAGACGGCTTAAAGTGGCCTCAGACCTAAAATAGCCGTAAGATGGGCGTCTTTAAGGTATCATGTGCTATCTGGGATGTATTAAAAACTACCCGAACTAAACAAGGATACATTACTTATATATGCACACGTGTACATCTTTAATATACGTTTAAAACCATGATCTAGAGTTTAAATATTAATTACATAGGATGAATGTATAAGGCAATAATGTTTTTTTTAAATTTTCAATGTTTTATTTTTGATAACTTACCTTGTATGTTTTATGCAATGCAAAAATAATATATAACATTTTGTTTAGGCTACGCTGTAACATCTGGTAATTACTTTGAAAAAGGAGAATTATGGTTTGCTTCAAGTAGTCCACATGCTAACAATATGCATGGAAAAGTTGTTATATTCAATTTTTCTAATAACGATAATAAGAAATCAACAGTGAAAAAGACTGTATATGGAGATCAGCTTGGTGAATATTTTGGAGCTGCTTTAACATCATGTGACCTCAATAATGATTATAAAGATGAACTAATAATTGGAGCTCCGCAATGGGCGAAAGATATGGATGAAGGCCGAATATATATCCTTAAAGCTACCCACAGTGTATGTACTACAAGTAATTCATATAATTATTATTAAAAGTACGTATGTTCTTTACCCAGATAGAACATGACCCCTTGAAGACGCCCATTTTACGGCTATTTTAGGTATAAGGCGCTTTTAAGCGTGTTCAAGGCGTTATTGGGCGACATGTGCTATCTGGGAAGTAAAAACCTTACTGAGACGCCCAAATAATTATTAAACAATAGAATCTAAATAATAATATAGTATACCCTTGCAAAAGTACACAAGGTGCCCACGTCCAACGTTAACGTTTTCGTATGTCAGATAGCATACAGACGGCTTAATGACGGCTTAAAGACGCCTTAGGCTTAAAACAGCCGTAAAATAGACGTCTTCAAGGCGTCATGTGCTATTTAGGATATGTTAAGAGTCGCGTTAGATGTTTATGGTGCTCGATTTTTATTCATGGCCGTGTTATGTCAACTCGAATTTGTTTCTGCCTTTTTGGTATGTTTAACAAAATTTTGTATAACATACAATTGGGAAAACAAGTTGTAGAAATACATAATTTGATACTCGGACTATTCCAAGAAGCATGGAGACCTAACAAAGCCCGGAATTTTCTCCAGGTTCTGCATTTTCTGTAACTTTCAGCTATAGCAGCCAATCTAAAGTGAATCAAACCACGAGGCTTTACCAACACATTCTTAGACATGTTTTTCCCAAAAATTAAAAAAAAAAATTTCGACTGTTTTGAGATCGTCACAGTGATGAGACCCCTTAAAGTATGAAATAGGCGCATCTAAATAATATTTTACACATACCTAGTAATAGGAACTTACATGTTACTATATTGTGAAAACATATTAAAATCAGGGTCGAATACCTCAAATTTGCTCATGTTAGTACATATGTATACATATATATGTGTCTATTGATATTGCATATTAATTGTAGGATGTTTTTGAGAAACAAATGTTTGAAGGGGGCACACCTGGAAGTCGATTTGGTTCTGTCATAACTTGTCTTGGAGATATTGATTATGATGGTTATGCTGACTTTGCTGTTGGTGCACCATACGAGGAACAGACTGGTGCAATATATATATTTAATGGCAACAGTAATGGATTACTTAAACGTTACAGTCAAAAAATAATTGGCAAAGAGTTTGGGGAACACGTCCGTGGCTTTGGAATGTCAATTTCAGAATCCCGTGATATAAATAATGATAGATATCCTGATATTGCTGTAGGCGCTCCTTTGTCAGATCAAGTAATTATAATAAAATCTAAGCCAGTTGTTGCAGTAACGACAGAATTAATATATTTGAAAAAACAAAAACTGTTACAAAATTCTACATTATTTTTAATCCAAGTATGTACATCATATAATGGAACATATGCGCCTACTCATCTTGGTACGTATAGGATTAAAATGTCACAAACTAATGCCTTATTTAGACACATAAATTTGTAACAAACTGAATTTTGCTTAGAAATTTCTCAATTGCTTAAAGTTGATGAAATGTATGGAAGAGCATTTTATGATACAAAAAAAAGGAAAGACAACATTCATCATTCCATTACTTTACAGAACTCTAAAACTTCGTGTACTTCAGATAAAATTAATTTAAAGGTAAGAATACCGAGAGTATGATATTAAAAATGATGTTTTCTGTAAAAGGGAACTTTTATACTCAGTTTTATTGAATTTTTCAGGAAAATATCCAAAATATAATAGATCCTTTGGAAATATTTGTATCAGTTAAATTAAAACAAGAAAATGAGGCAATTATAAATAAATTTCTTTCTAAAACTGAAGATGTAATGAAACTGCCATTTGCTGTAGACTGCGGAGAAGATAATGTTTGTACATCAGATGTTAAAATAATGTTGTCAACGGACTTAAAGTTTGGTAACAAATATACAATTGGGTCTTCATTCACTGTTAAACTTATAATAAATGCTTATAATTATGGTGAACCAGCATATCAAGCTAAAATATACATATATATTCCAAATATATTATTCTTGGCAAGTGTACCATCTTCATGCATGGAGGGTTCTCATGTACACGATACTTTAGAAATAATTTGTGATATTGGAAATCCACTGAGGGCAAATGTAAGTTTTAAATGTTATGCATTAATTTCTAAAATAATATGGTACAATTATGTACTTTTTTTTTTAGAAAACATTAATATTGGACTTAGATCTGAGTGAAATTCGATATGGTATTGATCAAGTAAAATTAATGTCAAATTTTACTATGCAAAGTGAACAAAAGAATTCATCGAATCATACACAAACTTTAATTATATACTTTGATGTTGACGTTGATGTAGCAATAGCAGGGTGAGTTAGTAGGCACAGTTATTATTGTACTTACATATGTATTGTCAAATAATGATATCAATTTTTATATTTTCCCAATAATACAAATTTAATAGGAAAACACAGGATGACTTGTATTCGTATTTTGGTAAAGTCCAACACCAATTAAATGACATTCAATTTGAGCATGTTTATGAAGTGCAAAAATTTGGTGTCAGTCCACTTGAAGAAGTTGTACTCACAATTAGTATTCCAACATACTGGAAACATTCTACAGAAGATATACAGATTATTAATCTTAATAAGACAACTGGTTATATGGATGGGCAACAACTTTATTGTACACACTCAAACGTTACACCTTCAGTTTCTTTAATCAGTATACCAAACATTTATTCTGCGCATTCTAATTTGAGTGTACAGGAAAAATTTAAAACGAAAACTAATTTTTCAATGAGTTTACCACCCGTGAATAGGTCACTGTATCTTGACTGTGCAAATACTAATGTACAATGTACCTATCTTGAATGTAAATTAAGTCCTTTTACAAGTTCCTTGTCTGTAGCCAAAGTTACTCTTATGTTAGATCTTTATTTAAAAAATTTTAAATGTAAGATCTTTTTTATATTTGATTAATGTATATTTAATTATTGAAAATGTTAAAACTGACTAATTCATGCTTTTCTTTGTTTTCATCTTTCATTACAGCAAATATGTTAGAAGGAAAGGATATCATATACTTTTTATCTAACGGAACTGTGAATATTGCACAACCATATAACATAACTCAGAAATATGGACACAAACCTGACAATACTATTGTTGCAACAATGTTCTTAGGTTCACCAGTGAGTGAGCAACTTGCAACTTGGATAATACTTTTATCAATTGCTTTAGGAATTGTATTACTCGTGTTTTTAATTATTGGATTGGTTACAATTGGATTCTTTAATAGAAAAAAAAGAGAGGAACTTCAAACATTAAAATCGAAAATGAATGTAAGTTGTATATTATAAATTAAAACAGTCCGTATATTGTGGATTAATATTTAGTAGTCATAAATAATCATTATGTTACAGAATGAAAATAAGATTATTTTAAACACAAATACACAAGAGGCGGTGTCTAACTAAGAGTGACAAAAATTTCTGTAAATATGTATTTTTTATTGCGTATATATATTATGTAAACAGAATAAATAACAAAAATGTTCTGTATTCAATAAACATATATTACACAGCACATACTTTTCTAAGGCCACCAGTATTTTTATAAAAATATAATAAATCTTAGAAAACAACAATCAGATTGTAATTCTTCAACTATTTATAAAGCTTGGAAAACCTATGCAAATGACATTTGCAAATGCAATAAATATTTTTAATCTCTGCTTAAGATATATAATACTCTATAAAAGCAAAAAGCAAAATTTTCTTAACAAATACTTTATATACAAAACGTCAATTCATTTAGTATGCGATTCAAGCAACTTGTACCATTGTTTCTTATTCTGTTCATTTATATGCGCCACAGACAAAATTAAATTAGCTGCTTTTGTCTTGAGTATTCCTAATATGATCAGAAAATCTGATTATATTTGTAATATTTTAGCTATTTAAGATAATACAGCAAAGTTTACATTACATGTCAATGAAAGGGCATAAAACTTTCATTCTACATACAGGGTATCTTAAATATAAGTTAAAATATTTTAACGAGCACTAGATAAGCAGGACTGGAATAAAAACTTTGCTACCATTTTGCAGTAATAACATCAAAGTTTCGAAACATTTTCAGCTGTTTGTGCTTTGCTAAGAAGCATAGGATTTTGTAATGTCATAGGTTTATTGGACAGTGAAGATAGAATAAACGAATCTTGTTACATTTTGTTGCATCTTCTGCAATTTAGCTGTTACAAAATTTGACAATTTTTGTCAAGAGATCGCGACGTAATGAACTGTTGATTTTAATCAAAATTGATTTTCATTTAGAGGAACACATAGTCCCCACTAAGTTCTGAGCCACCCATAAATTCTCTGAAAAGTAAATAGCGTTGATTTTTTACTTTCTCGGATGCATGTTTCACACTGCAGGACAAGTCATTTATCATCACCAGCTAATATTCTACTAGTGTTCAGTGAAAAATCTGTATCTAATAGTCAGTTATTTGTTCACAACACTTGCAAATTCATTATTTGTAAGAATCTTACCCCAAAGTTTCTCTTATCAAATAGCTGAAAAGCCTAGGTTAACGACCTTTTTTTAACACGCTCACCGCGGAACCTATTTCGGTTGACTTTCCGTTGACGCCGATTATATAATTTAATATTTGAATTTGTATTACATGACGGTTTATTCTAAGGCCTTATTACTGCAAATTTGAAGTAAAATGAATATGGATCATAGAACATTTTTATTCCAATTGTGTTAACAGCCTTTAAAATATTTCAACTTAGATTTGGAATATCCGGTACTTTCTTTTACTTAGTTTTTTATCTTAACTTACATTAATCGTCCAAACCTAGGCCTTTTGAAATTTCATCTGCAGTTAATTTATGACCAGAAGTAGGAGGACTGTCAGAAGATAGAACAGGTTGCATGGAAGGTGTTGTACTTGGTGTATAAGACTGTGAAGGAGCTGGATAACTTTCTCCATGAGATTTCTACAAGAGAAAAACATTGTAGTAATTAAATAATAAAACTCGTAAATTTGCAAATATTTTTATACTTACATCTTTACCGTGTTTACTAAGACCTTCTAAGGCAGAGCTGAACAAAGAAGAACCAATTGCAGAACCTATTCCAGATAAGAGATCTGAACCTGAACTTGGTTGTTGACTAGAATAACCACCAGAAGGTTGATAATTTCCATAACCTCCTTGGGGTTGATATCCTGGTTGTTGATTTCCACCACCACCACCACCACCAAGTACACCACCAAGAATGGATCCTAGAGCTCCTGACAGTGGGTCAGACGGTTGACTTGGTGGATGTACTGGTGCTGCATTACCACCACCTCCACCTTATTTAAACATATATATATATATATAAATTTAATCCACTATAATAGTTGTAAAGTGTTTGAACATGTTAATTTAGATCTAAAACATGGTGTAGCAACACTTAAACTATCGACTATTGATCAGTGTCCATCATGACTTAAGAACAAAAATAGTTCTTAACAGATGATGTCATTCATGCAATCACTTTTAATGTCAGTTTAAATCGTCACTTATGATGACTAAAAGTCATGTATGAATGAAATGATGATACTAATTGATGCCAACTATTTGAAGAGGGATAAAATTAAGAAGTTTACGTTTAAAATAAATGGAGTTTGATATTTTTAAGTTACAATTGATATAATACCTAATGCTCCAAGAATCGAGCCTAATACACCACCACTAGAATCTTGAGGATAGCCCTGTTGTGCGTGCGAGTTGCTTTGTAAAGCATTGCTTGCTAAAAAATTGCTTGCTAAAGCTGCACCAAGGGAACCAAGGTTTCCTAAACCACTTTCACTTTCTGTTTTTGATTTAGAAGCATCTGATTTTTCATGATCTGTTTCAGCCTCTCCATCTTTCTTTTTCTGCAAATATTAACAAATCGAAACTACAGTTGTATTATTACATTTTTAAATAATAAATATTATTAATTACTAGAGTTGCTTACATTTAATGCATGGGCTGCAGCAGCTATGCCTCCAGCTGCAACTAATCCACCTAGTGCTAGACCAACTTTATTTAAGCAGCCACCAAATGCATCTTCTTCTTCTGCTTTTTCATATCCAGGTTGATATCCATATGCTTTTGAAGGGTTGTAACCAGGTGCTTCATATGCACCAGGCTGAGGACCATAACCAACTGGTGGTAATGGTCCATATCCACCAGGTGATGTTTGAGAACCTATTGTTGGATATAATCCACCTGGTGCTAAAATTAAAATAATAATATTTGCCATTGAATATAAAATTATTTTTAAGAAAGGTAGATATAATATATAATTAAAATGCTTCATTACGCGGAGGTCCAAAGTTTGCTGTAGGTACATCTGGCATAGGTGTAGCTCTTGGAGAACGAGACGGTTCAACAGAAACGGTTTCGTATGCAATAGAATTTATTTCTACATCACCATCGATAACCAAATGAGAAACTTTCTGATATGGTAATCGATGAACAAATTCTGTAAAATGTCTGCCATTTATAGCAATTTTATAGGCTGCATAATCACACAAAACAAACATCTCAAATTCTTGTCCAGGTTGAATCCACATAGGACCTCCATTCTCTTCTGTTCCCCAAGTCATTGATTCTATATGATTCCTAGTGATGAACCCTTCTGGAAAACGTGGTGATATGTGGATGGCTATGTCATCCCTTGGGTTTAATGTAGGCCCCAATTGGTAGTTAACAGCAAAACGTATACCATCTGATGGAACTTTTCCTTGAATTTTTACCATTTTTCCAGGTATCAGACCACCTTCAACCAGTCCCACAAAAGGAATTGACTGTGGACATAGAAATTTATCAATGTTTCACCAATGTTCCTTAAAAATAAAAGATATTTTATAGAAATCTTTAAATTTATTGTTACATAAATGTAGTTATTCCAACCATAAGCTGTGTTCATTATTTTTATATTTATATTATATTTATACTTTAGATCTTCCTCCAAATTGTACTACCTGCAAATGCAACTAAAATATGTACAATTTCTTCTTTTTTTAAATTTCAAGGCCATTTTCTAATGTTTAATTGTACTAAATTCTAACATAAAAAAGTTATGCATTACATATTACAAACGTGATTATGATTATAACTGCATTGCAGATACCAAATTCATGACAGCTTACTGATTATTACTTTTAACTAGTTTCATTATTTAACAAGTGAACACTACTTACAGGATGTAAAATTGGTTCGGACATTTTTTCACTATATTCTATATTACAATTTGCGAATAAAATGTATGTTCTAATCCACGATGGAAGCCTAGAGAATAGTACTGCGCACACGAAGAGCTATGTTACTGTCGTTAACTATGTATTCCCTTCCAATTCTCTTGAAATATTTCTATTTAGAGCGCTGACGTTTCCAGCTTGAACTGTGCAATGCGGCATACACTATACGTGACGCAGCTTCTGGTGCGCAGTGGTTTCTTTTGCGTATGTACTTATTCCAGTTCCACCTGGTTCCACCGTTCTTTCTGCAATGTGTCTCTGATGTCCTGCAGACTGCAGTGTCCTCTCATGACCGGGGACAAGCGGGCAAGTTATATGTCATATACAAACAGTGGGACCAATGAAATCTCAATACTTTCAAAATGGACCGGAAACACGTGGTGATGAACCAATTATAAGACAGAAATTATCTGACGTCAAGAGTATGGACGAAGTAGGCAATTAATACTGCGGAACTTTTGTAGAAATGTAATATGTATCTATGAGAATCATTTATGCGTGGAGACATGTATTAAACAACAATTAAAATAATGAGGTATACAAAATTATTTTATATTATTTGACCTGGTATTTGAGTCTGACAACATTCTGTATCACTGAAAGTCTGCATCAACATTCTTTTCTCCAGGAAACATTAGGCGCAGTTTATAAACTTAAGCACGTTGAATCCATTTCTGTAATTAGAATTTCCTTATCGCGTACAGTTTTTGTAAACTAACGGATTTTGTGGAAAATGTTATTTTTACAAAAATCGTTCATTTTCGATATATAGGGTGCCTCTGATTGGGTTCTACGACGGAGTTGGAGGTGATTCTATAAGATAAAATAAGTCGAAAATAAAAGAATACATTCTTTTCGTTTGTGGTTTCGTTTTCGAGAAAATTCGGTTTGAAGTTTGAACATTCAACTAGAACGCGTGTATTCGTGCTGGCAATAAGTATGTAGAAACGGCCTGCAATGAACAGACACGTTAGCTAATTGTAAGTCCTATTTTTTTATTGCCCGTGGGTCTAAAAAATTTTCAAGTTCGATTATTTCGAAAATGAAGCATCACTTGACAAAATTTTGTTCCCTTTCTTCGACTTATTTTTTTTTTATAGAATCACCTGCCCGGTTGTACTATCCGACTTGAGACACTCCATATCTATAAGTAAGTAGCATTTATGTATTGGTATAATTGTTAAGCTTAAAAATCTTATTTGAATGTCTGCAGCGATAAAAAATGAGAATTAAGAGATATCACCCGTTACAGTAGAAATAGACCAAAATCAAATGTTATGCAAACATTTTCCCTCGGTTCAGTAAACAACAAAAAAGATTTCTTAGGAGGTAGGTATTAATGATAACTATTTATTGCCTAGAAAGAAGTAAAGTTGTCGTAGCAGGGGAAACTTAGGATTCCACCACGTCCTTGCTATGTTATTTCAGTTTCCATAATTAAGTAGCCGTGTCGTTCCACGCCAAATCGGTCACTTTTTGCACTTGTTATCAGGGATTCTGTTGAAAATGAAATATGTTGTAGTCCACGTGAAATTAGGGGGGGTTTAAGTCATCATTTTTGTGTTCCCGAATTTGTTTAAAAATTACAGGCTATCGAACTTTACGATGTTTGCCTATTTTCGTGAAACAGCGATCTACTTAAGAATTTATATCTCGGAAATTATTTACCGTATCGAATTCGTTCTTCGATTATTTTAATCTAGACGGATTGCCCTACTACAATAACTTTTTGGTATATCAAAAATTGATTCTTTAATAAGGAAAATTATAAACAAATTCTTTTTTCGTGATTTTCTCTGTGAGGGGCAAGGGGTGTTTAAATTTAAAAAACATTTTAATCTACCCTTTCACATTATTTTTTTTATGTAGAATCACCTAACTTCGGGTTGTAGTGCTAGTTCACAAACACCATATAGGTCCCAGATAGCACAATACACCCAATAACGCCTTGAAGACGGGCTTAAAAACGCCTTAGACCTAAAATAGCCGTAAAATGGACGTCTTCAAGACATCATGTGCTATCTGGGGTATGTACATGGTTTTTTCGTCTAAAATTGCGTTTCCGTAACTTCGAATCATTATTTTTCAAAAGTCTAACGTGTTAAAACATATCTGCTCTACATTTAAATTTAGCGCACTCAAATTTGCAAGAAATATACAAAAATTCTCGAAAAAGTGAAAAAAAAAATCATTTCTGCACATCAGTCCCAGATAACACATGATGTCTTGAAGACGTCTATTTTACGGCTATTTTAGGTCTAAGGCGCCTTTAAGCTGTCTTTAAGGTGTCATTGGGCGTCATGTGCTGTGTGGGGTGTTATTTCATTTAGTATGTATTGAAATATTTATTGTTAATATTATTTTGTTTTATTCTGCTTGAAACTACATTTCAACATGACCCTCTAGAATCAAACGTCTTGACGACAACTCTACATTTATGTTGCTGGTATCGTTTTAGAAAGAATTTTAGTTTTGAAATTTGTTCCCGAACAGAACTATTTCATGAGCCCGTAAATCTAATGTACCAAACAATAATTCATTTATAAGTTGTTTCCTTTTACATACTATTATGTAGTGCTTTTAATTTTTTTTTTTTCGGGTTACGACGTAAAGTGGCTCCATTAAAATTATCGCTTCAAGGTTGTGCAATTAATTAGCAAAACAGTTACAGTGGAGCAAGCGCATATTATCGCCCACACTCATTTTTGCCTGTGCATTGTTTAACATTAGGGGAAACTGAATAAACCGTTCATTGAGATACAGCAGCCCAGCGTGGAAGAAAATTTTCTTGGCGTAGAAACTGTAAACAGTCGAATGAGAGCTAGTTAATAGTCAGCAGATGTGTTGTATCAATTTGGACCGACAAAATTGATCACGAAGTATGGAAACATTCTGTTCGTAGTGTTTTTTTTTTAAGTTAAACGTTGCTTGTTCATTATCGAGAAAAACAAATCATCTTTTTGCATAAAAATGTAAGATGATTTTATATATAAATAAATATAATGAATGTAGTTTTTGAATAAGTAAAAATCGCAACATTTTAACGGATTAAAATAATAAATCTTAAAAATTAGTGATAAAGTTTTATTGTTTTTGTAAGGTGTTAGAAAAGAAGATTTAAAATTACGTATTGATCATATTGTTACATGTTTTTGATCATCAACACCCTTACGGGAACAATTAAATATGAATAAAAATGATGTAAAGTTACCAATTCCAAGATACACGTAAGTACGGTTTAATTTATACTACTACACATTATGATAGAATTAGATTCGGGAATCTTCGATTAACTAGTTAAAAAAAAATACAAATGGCAAGTTAACTCATCTTTTCTGGTTAACAGATTAATTATTGGGAAAAATCTAAACTACTGTTGATATTAATGCTTTATACATATAAAGTACAAAAAATGCAGTTAAAGAGGAAAGGATCTGTGAAAACGTAGTCTTCTTTATGGAATTACGTACAGATCAAGAATTGAAAATTCGCAATTCAGAATAGACGTACCCATTGGCGTAACTAGGTAGGGGCCAAGGTGGGCCTGCCCCCCCCCCGCCCGTCCAGGAATTATGCAAATATGTAAAAAAACATTCGTCAGTTACTAAAATCTTCTGTTATAAAAAATAAATACTTGGGCCGAAATGCAATATGCAACGCAACTAAATACAAAAAATACAATACTATCCCCATTACGTGAAAGTATTAAAATTGTATTAGAATTAAGCTCTTTCATTTTAATATTCTACTGTAACTAATAATCCGGTAACATAAATTGAAGGGCCGGATGTAATAAGGAGACTAGCTTTTGAGAATGCAAAAATTATTTATGCAGAAAAAACCAGCAAATTGAAGCTTATACATATATGATAGGTTTTAACTATATGTATTTGCACACAATATACTCTTGCTTTTAATCAATATCAAATTTTGTTTATTTTTAAGAATTATGTTTATATCTTCCTATTCTTAGTTTTGGTGTTAAATAAATATGTAAATAATTATTGTAAAATGTGTAACTTTATTTTCTGCAACCTACGTATATGGTGTAATATAGGTACAGATGTCTCATGGGAAGTCAGGGGACCTGCCCCCCCCTAGATAAAAATCCTAGTTACGCCAATGATATTAGCAATGCGTATTTCATAAGAAATCTTTCGCATCCCGTGTCCTTTTATTCCATAGAAATAACGATTACTAATCTAATTTTCCTGGCAAATTGTAAGCAGACGTATTGCCAAATTGCCATCACAAGCTACGAATTTTGTCCAATGATTTCAGGGTCCATACACATAAGGTGTGTCGCTATAAAGAGTATGTGAAGCGTGCAAGGGCTAGGCACTGACGCACCCACAATCTGTATAGATAAGAATTAAATTTTGTCTGTCAATTGGTTCTATTCAAAGGCTTTGAAGTTTTCTACATACGGTTTAGATAGCTTGATGATTGAAGGAAGATCTAGATTTGGCTTAGCTCGTCTCTGTGTTTGTTTACATACCATCCAAAAATAAGCGACAGAAACATTTATTAAGCTTAAAAAAACTTTTGTAGAGGTGGGGAATATAATGGTCATAAACATGAAATTCGAACAATTTCGGTTGCAAAAGAAAAATTCTTCCAATTTAGAAGTCATTTTTTTATGTAACTATTTGTTTACTAGAATAGAATATACTCACAAGGTTCGACACTTTATTCTAGTAACACTTTGTATAGGTACTTCACACCGAATCTAAGAAAATCTATTGGAATGATGAAAACATGAACAGAAAACCTAGTTAATCATAGCAAGAGTAGTGTTATATCTTCATTTTTTTCAAACTCTTAAATAGTTCCCCGGTATAAAAACAGAGGATTTATTTAAAACGATTGCAAAGTAAATGAAACTATACTTTAAACAACTATATAATCAATAATTTTTTAAATTTTCAAAAATTCTTCGAGATACGTTTATATTTTTATATGTTACTAAAGACTCTGTCACATGTAAATTCTTAATGTAATAAGAAAATCGATCATGATTCTTCTGTGGTTATTTTGTGAA